CTCTTTTAGCTTCTGTAAAATGCTTGGCTGCTGCTTTAGACATGCCTAGACATACCCTGGCATGCCCTGACCCCCGCCTGCTATTCCCCACCCCCCTTCCAGGAAACTATAGATTAAGCAAGCCCGGGCATAAAAACTGCCCTATAAGGTAAAAACAGAGACTCCTGGCCCCACAGGTAACAGTCAGCACATTCCACAGCCCTGAGAATAGCACCTACCAATAAGAAACTTCCAGGGCTGCATCTTATACATCAAATCGGTTTAAAATTATGTTGGCGTGTGGGGGCTCCTTGAACCAACCAAAATGTATCTTCGGTATCTCCCCCCCCCTTTTGTCTAAAACTTATAAAAGGCTCCACTCTCCCTTACTCTGGGCTCTCAGCACGGATCCGTTGAGTTGGTGAGGTCTGAGAGCCAGAGCTTAAGTCCGAATAAACCATAAACCTTTGCTTTTGCATTTTGGTGTGTTGGGCCCTCGGTGGTCTTTTCGGGGTGCAGTGGATGGGGTACAACACTCTGCCTCTGCCTTCCCATTGCTGGGATTACAGGTGTGCACTGCCACGCACAGCTTCAGGGCTTTTTTTTTTTTTTTTAAGTCTTGTTCTTTATTCTTTTTGAGACAGGGTATCAGATAGCCCATACTGACTCAAACTCACTCTGCAGTCCACAAAGACATTCAACTCCTGATCTTCCTGCCTCAGTTTCCCAAGTAGTAGGATTATAGGGGTGTGCCACTATACCCAGCTCTGTTTAAAAAAAATATTTAAAAGTGACTTGTGGGCATCAAGTCCTTTATGCTTTTTATTTTTATTTTCTGAGACAGGGTCTCACTCTATAGTCCCTTCTAGCCTCAAACTAACAGCACTCCTCCTGCCTCAGCCTCCTGAGTGCCTAGGGCTATAGCTATACATGTGCAGCTCCTAAACCCTTTATCTTAATCCTCTGATATGTGTGCTGGATAGCTTTAGTGTCAACTTGACACACCTGGGTTGAGGGAGCCTCAACTGGAGAATTTCCTTCATTGGACTGGCCTGTGGCCATGTCTGTGAGGCATCTTCTTGATTGTTGTGCAATGTGGGAGGGCCCAGCCCACTGTGGGTGGTGCCACCCCTGGGCAGGTGGGCCTGTGTTGCATAAGAAAGCAGGCTGAGCAGGGGCCAGGGGAGCAAGCCAGTAAGCAGTGTTCCTCCATGGCCTGTGCTCCAGCTCCTGCCTCCAGGTTCCTGCCCTGAGTTCCTACTGGGCTCCCTGATGAACTGTGACCTGGGATATGTAAGCTAAATAAAACATTTCCTCCCCAAGTTAGTAGTGGTCAGAGTGTTTTGTCACAGCAATGGAGAAACAAACTTAGGACAATATGTATCACCCAGAAAATAGGACAGTTATCACATGTTCACAGTGTCAGTACTGAATGCAAAAACTTGACATAGTACTGAAAATTTTCCTGTATATCCAAATCTCTCTGATTGGCCCAACATTCCTTCACAGTCTCTTCCTGCCCCAGATCCAATTGATCGTGAACTGCCTCATTATCCTCCTGAAACCTAGAACAATTCCTCTGCCTCTTAGGAGATTTTCTTTCTATATCATTCTCATGAATTCTGTCTGCTCACTCCTTCCCACCTGCTCTGTTTCCTGACTGTCTGTACAATGTGACTAGATTCCTCCCGTGTATGCCAGCCATGCTCTCCCGGCCATGACAGGCTATGATCCCTAGGAGCTAGAATCAGCATTTCCTTTGCACTGCTTCTTGTCGGGTGTTTGGTCCAATGTGGAGAAAGTAACTGAACTGAACCCACTCCTTCACACTGCCACAGAGCCTTCTCTACTCACTCAGCCCTCACCAGTTGCTCCCTCTGCCCCCAAACCCCAGCACCTCACTTCATGTAATGCCCCTCCCTGGAGAGGCCTCTTTGCACTGCCAAACCCTCTCATCAGCCTTCTGCTTGGCCCTGTTCTGCCAGGTCCTTTTCAAGGACTCCACAGAACAGAAAGCCATACACAAGTTCTTCACCAGCACAAGACAATGCCTGACTCATAAGTGCTCAAAATGAATTAATCCAAAGTGTCTACTGTCCCTTCTGATTTCTAAAAATGGAGGTCCTGAAGATAGTGGCCAAGGTCATCACTATCAAATAGTCCCAGCTAATTAACATTCCTGATGCCACCCCTGAACAGTCTTCATAACATTCATAACATCCCCCAAGTGTTCCTGACTTAACACTCAAACCACATCCCACAGTGTGGTGTTCCTAACAGTCATGCCACACCCCCCAGAGTGTTCCTGACTAACATTCCTGATACATCTCCCACATCTCCATGATGTCACTGCTTTCAAATCCTGACGTAGCAAGTTTACCCTTTTCTTTCCCCTCACGGTTCCTCTGGTGGGTCTCTACTGCTCTTGGATCTTAATCTCATGATAGAACTCTATGGAAGTAAACTTGACAGCACCTATTTGTCGATTATCTTTGTGATGTGCACACCTATGTGGGAAATCTCACACGTGCAAGGTTTTTGTTCATTTGGTGCTGAGCATCAACTCTGCGACCATCAGCACTGGCTCAAAGAAATTTGTTCTGTTCAGTGGAAAGATATGCACAGAGCAGTATGCAGCCCTGAAAAATATGCCAAGTTCTAGTCAGGAACTTGTCCAGGGAATATTATTGTTGGCAGAAAGGGAGGATATGACAGATGCCAAGAATATACCTTTCACTTACTTTTCCCAAAGAGCTGAACACATTTCAAGTCTTAAAGAGATCTACCTCCTGAATGAAAATAAACACTTGAGGCCGGAAAGATAGCTCAGAAGTTAAAGCTTCCTGTTCTTGAAGGGGACTGCAGTTCAGTTCCTAGTATCCATATGGGGCAGCTCTCACCCACCTGTAACTCCAGGTTCAGGGGATCTGACGCCTCCCTCTGTCCTCCACAGATAACCCACATGCACACATATATACATGCTCATATGCAAATGCGTGCACACACACACACACACATGATATACATTAACACATCAGAACGCCAGCGTGGTTTCCATCATCTGAGCTTATTTTATTGATACTCATTAGTGAATAGAATTTTATTGTTGATTTTTGATGTATGATAACACACTTTTTGGTAGTGTTTGCTCAATGTTGACCACCTGTTTATTAACTATGCTAAGTACCGCAGCCTCTGACGTGCCAATTTTATAGTTACGTCTATTGATGATGGGTGGCTCCCCTGACTGCGTGAAGTGGTCCATTCAAGTTCATGGTTGTCAGATTCCTTTGTTATTCTACCTACTGCTTCAACATACATTCAAATAAAAAACATATAAGTTACTTGGAGTAACTGCACACCTACAACGGCGAGGAGAGTGGAGGATGTGACGAACCAGCACGCTCCTGTTTGGAGAATAAATAGTCTGAAATGGTGGGACTGAAACTTGCTCCTTGAGGACCTTCCCAAAACATACCTGATGGACATAAGGTGGCCCTCACTAAATTGAAGGACACATCTTTTGCTGGGGATTGGGGTCCACATGGCAACTTCATGTACATAGGATGCTATCCTTCCACACATGTCTGGGATAGGTGGTCATGGAACACCACAAGGCCCAAATGTCCTGGGACCATAATAAATAATCCTCATGGGGTGGGACGCCACATACACACTGGCTGGAGCTGGAAGGGGAGCGGGGCATCCGCTTGAAAAACAGCACACATGGATAATAAATAAAAGTTCACAACTGAATCAGTGACAGTGACAGGACCAGGCCCCTCAGTTGCTCAAGCTTGTGTTCACAAGGAACTCTGCTGTTCCCAAGAGCAAAAAAAAATGGGACAAGGAGACACTGGGCTTATGGGTTGAAGGAAACTTCTTCCTCTGTTCTGAAACAAGAGGGTAAAACATGTGGGCACTGAGTGGCTACAGAGTCAAAACATGCTACCTGGGCTCCCTTCGGAGTGAGGACGGGGCCAGCCTGACCAAGCCTGACCAACCTTGCCCCAGGATGTGATGAGGTTGCTACGACTCTACCCTTCTCCCTTTCCCATGGATTTCGTTAACAAGTGTTTCACCCTTGCACCCTTCCTTTCAATCCTTCTGTTCAGTGGGAACTGACTGCACATCAACGTGGCTGTGATACCGGGTCCCAGAAATAAGCTATGTCATTAGCAAGTCAGTATGCATGTGCCATTTGCATTTTGGTATCATAGAACCACAAAGAGACATTGCCAGTACCGTGATTTCCCTGCAAATAAAATAAAATAAAATGGAAAACTCAGTCACACAGAGGACACAGACAGGTGGCTGAACTGCATGGCGGGAGTGTAAATACATTCTTTTTCTTTCGGGTCAGACATTGGGCCTGAGAGCTGATTACAAGATACAGGATGGCTTCAAGTGGGAGGCATAAAAGAAAAGTCACGTGAAACAGAACCAACCATCCATCGAGACAGAGCAGTGGTGATCTTGATGAAGCTGGGCCACCCCCAACAGAAAGGCTCTCTGACGGTGAGTGGCTCTGTCAGCTGTCATGGGTGGGCGAGGAGGCCAGCAATACCCGGGCTATGGGTGTATTGTGACCTGTGCCGCAAGGCGACTGCTTGTGGAGTGTGACCCGGCAGTCCTATTCAGAATTCACCGGTTTCCTATCCATGGGATAAGAACACCTTTGGAATTTCAGTGCTTCTTAAAAACAAAGAAAGAACACCATCTTCTCTAGATGAGCTCGGTAACATCCTCATGCGAGTGACAACTGTGCAGGGACCTTCCTGTCAGACTGGGAACAGATGCAAGGTTGCCAAGTCCTACCTGCACATCGCATGGAGCTCCACTCCTCCCCCACGAGGAATGAGGCTGATTTGTCTAGCTCAGGAGAAGAAGACAAAGAAGGGACAAGGAAGAGAGCGCTCTGTGGGGGACAGGAGGTGCAGAGCAGATGGAGAACGCTGGTCTCCCGGAGGGCAGCAAGCCCCAGCCTCACCGCAAGCTAGTCTGTTTGGGGAGCTTAGCACCCATCAAGATGCCCGAGGTGAGGGTCACGGGAGCTCGCATGTGCATGCTGGACCCGACCATGGTGGGGAAGCTGCGGTTCCGTCGGATGCCACTGGGGAGCTGCAGCCCACTGGTGACACTGGGGCACCCGAGAGGCAGGCCCTCGGGAACAAGAGCCTGTGCTGGCCCTGGAGTGCCACAGAGGAGAGGTCCCTGATCCTCAGTCAAAGTGGGGACATGGGGTCGCCCCGAGTTCACCACTCTGGCCACCCCAAACCTCCTGACTTTGTCCACAAGGTTGAGGTTGGAGACTGACACATCAGTCTGGCTCTCGCTGCTGCGCACATGTTTCTTTTCCCGCACCTCTCTCAGGATGGAGCTGGCAGGCTTGGAAGCCAGGAAGTTGTCATAGGGAGGGCTCGTGCACTTGAACTCGAAGGAGGGTGGGGAGGCTGTGGGTGTCTGCATAGGCGAGTTTGGAGGGGTAGAAGGGATCACAGCCATCCTAGGGGTATAGGAGTGCAGGAGGGAGCCCCGGGCGGCCCTGTCCCAGCTCTGGGGGTCATACACTGCCGCAGAAATACCTCGCTCCTTCAGCAGCCACACCAGCCCCAGGGAAGTGCTCATGGTTGTGGTGGACTCACGGATGTTCGTGAAGGACTCAGCCAGGCTCAGTCTCCGGGGGGTACATGGCGTGGCCACTGGTGTGGATTTCAAGTGGCCGGTGCTGCCACAAGCTGGAGCTGGGGCTGAGTTAAGGCTGAAAGGAAAAGGGGGCTGGTTATTCATAAGAGAAGCCTGCAGGCATTATGGGAAGCATCAGTGGCCAGCCTCCTGCAGAGTGTGCAGGGTGAGCCCAGAATAGGAAAAGAGGGTAGGAGGATAGGTGTGCCTCTGCCACGTCCTGAGATGCACCTCTGTCTGCATCTGTGCCTCCTTCCCACCCATGGAGGGGAGTGGTCCCTTAGAGCTGTGGTTTAAGGTAACAGGCTACAAGTGGTTCCCTTTGGTAATCCCTGGCAGGTGCATAGAACTCTCTCCTCTGAGGATGAAGAAGCAGGCTCCAAGGTCAGAGAGTTACTCAAGATACTCTTGGCTAGTAAGTGGACAATCCAATGTTCAAACTAAGTGTGAAGTGGTCCTGCCATTGTCAGGACAGGAAGCAGTCAGCAATCAAATCATCCCAAATAGCACCTGTGTCATACCTTGATCTGTGCTGATTAGTTTTTGTCGACATAAATAAGACACCTGGGAAGAGGGAACCTCAATTTAGGAATTTCCTCCAGTAGACTAGCCTGTGGGCATGTCTGTGAGGCATTTTCTTAGTTGCTAATTGATGTAGGAGGGCACAGCCCATTGGGCTGTGCCACCCCCAGGCAGGTGGGCCTGGACTGTCTAAGAAAGCAGGCTGAGAAAACCAGGGAAGCAAGCCAGTAAGGAGCATTCCTCCACGGTTTCTGCTTCAGCTCCTGCCTCCAACTTCCTTCCCTGACTTCCCCCAGTGATAAAATGTCACTTAGAAGTGTAAGATGCAATAAACTCTTTCTCCCCAAGTTGTTTTTGGTCAAAGTGTTTAATCACATCAATAGATAGCAAACATTAACAATCTACCTGAGGCAAGATGCTAACAGGAACTACAGCTAGAGCTTGTTTTAGGAAAGGGGGAAAAAATGGCCACAGCACAGCCAAAACCAGGCAGAGCACATCTAGTCACTGGCAGCCCTTGGCCTCCTGATGGCCAGCACAGCACTCTCCCCACTACCCCTTGCTGCTCCAGCTCCCCTTCTCTGTTGCCCAAACTCATTGTGATGAGTAGAGTGACAGGCAGGGGAAGGAAGCCATGCCCCATGTTATCCCACAGACCTCTGTCTAGGAGCTGTGGAGCTCAAGGCCCACAGTATGTGACACTTGAATGACTAAAGCAGAAAGATGTGTTCATTCACCCATGTCCTGTTGACTGAAGACCTGTGAGGTAGCAGCAACCGGGTGTCCAGCTTAGAAAGCCACGAGAATGGGACAACAGGGAAAACTGTACTTTTCTCACAGAGCTGGCTTTCAGGGATCCCTGCCCTGCTTCCAAGAGAGGGCAGAGAGACAAAGGCCCACCCGCTGCCACCACCTCAGAGGACCCTCATGATACCTGCTCTAGGCTTTGGCTGGAGCTGCCAACATTCCTTCCAACAGGCCAGCTGGGTGGTCCCCAGGACTAAGGCATAGAGACCTCTCCACCTCCTGACCAGTGGAGGCCCAGATACTTTGGGCAGAGCATCAACCAGAAGAAGGCAGGGACCTGGGTCCATTCTGGAGCAGGCCTTTGGAATGACTAGGAAAGGGGCCCCTCCCTGGAGCAAGTGTAAGCTAGAGGTGCCATGTGGTGCAGCATGTAGGTAATGTCCCCAGTGGTTGGCCATCCCAGGGTGGGAAACAAGAGTAGCCCATCCCAAAAGGGAGAAGCTAGAGGGTGGGGAACATTTGGAAAAATGTGAGATTAGAAACCACAGCAGCTCCTAGGGTTAAAAAGGTGGAATTTGCAAAAGGCACAGGGAGGTTTTATGAAGGCTCCATGGAAGTCATTGGGAGGTAAAACACTTCTGGACTTGAAGACTTTCTTGGTGTGGCCATTCCTAGAGAGATTTTCCATTTTGTTTCCCATCAGCTTTCTTCCTACCTCAACCAAGTCAGTGGTTCTCATTCCTTCCTAGGCTTTTCTCGTCCCCAGTGGCCATGTTTGATTGACTTCTAGGGGAAGGCACACTGGGGGACAGTCTGGGGCCTATAGCCAAAAAACAAACAAACAAACAAAACACCCCACATTTAGTCACCTGGACCTAGCCTCTCGTAAAGGACAGCATTCTGTGGCTTTGAAAATAACCTCTTCTGAGCATAAAGTCACAGGGCCTGGAAGCCAGAGTCTCCCAGGGCAGCAAGAGAGACAACAACAAAGCAGAAATTCAGAGACCCCCCTGGGTGAGACCTCTGGTTAGGCCTTTATTAGTGCGACACCCAGCTGGTCTGGGGGTTTTAGAGGGGTTAGGGATAACAATGGTCAAGGCTGTGTTAGCCAGACACCACCACAGAGACACATCAAAGCCTGAGTCCCCAGGTTAGTGGCGGCCACACATGCACACACAGCTCCTTCAGCGTGGCCTTGCCGGAGCAGGCTCAGTTGGCCGTGTGCTCACCCCCTGCCTTGCCCGTGGGCTCAGCCTCTGCCCTACATCTCCTCTCAGCTCAACAGGGCATATGGCTGCTTCATTGTCCTCCTCACAAGACCTGTGGAGAATTATTCATAGTTTAAGGTGCTCCTTGGGGTGGCTACTCCCTCTGAGATGGCCCTTTTCACCCCCCCTCCCTGACTTTGTCACCATCCATTAACTCTTGGACCTTGCTTGACCATGTCACACAGAAAATGGCAAAGAGGGTTACTCTCCTATGTCCAGGAGACTATTCTCTTTTCCCTGGAAGGCACAGAAGGAAGCTATGTGGCTGAAATCAAGCCAAACAGACCAACCTCTCACCAGATGGTATGCCAGAGGGAAGCAAGCCACACTGGGTGTGTGGCTACATCATGGAGTTTTAACATGTTGGCCATTACAGATTGGCTGTGGTGTGTGGTTCCTGGAGTCCGCTCCAGAGGCACAAGGACTTCCACACAACACAGTAACTACCGTGAAAGATCACCATGCTCCAGCAGCAAGTTTTGGCCCAACAATTCAGCAGACTCAGCCCCAGGGCCTGTAGGAATGTTGGCTTCATCCCATTAAGGGAAAGCCCAAGAATTAACAGGACAGCTGATGGGAAGGCCAGTGAAAGGTGGGTTCCAGCCTCCCTACCTTGCTGGATCTGAATGAACAGGGCCTTGGTTCATTAAGAAAGACAGAACCCAGAATGAATGGCTGCAAATGCTTCCAAGATGCTTAAGTTGGCTGAGTTGGCTCTGTGTATGTGTGTGCATGTGTGAGTGAGGATGTAGGGACATGTGTTTATGCACAAAGGCCAGAGGTCAACCTCAGGGGCTGGTCCTCGGGAACCACCTATCTTGTGTTGAAGACATGATAACTGTCACTGGCCGGGAGTTCACCAAGCGGGCTAGGCTGGCTGATCACTGAGCCCTAGGAATCCACTTGTTTCTAACTCCCTAGCACTGGGATTACAAGCTTGTGCCACCACGCCCCACATTTTTCACATGAGTGCTGGGGATCAAACTTAGGTCATGTTTGACTGAAAGAAGTTTATGACTGAGCTATCTCTCACCCCTGGAGTTGGCTTTTCTTTTTTAGGGGGCAGGGGAGACACAGGTTCTTACTATGTTAACCCTGGCTGGCCTAGTAATTCCCTATGTAGACCACGCTGGCTTCCAGCTCACAGAGATCTGCTTGCTTCTGCCTCACAAATGCTGGGATAAAAAGTGTACACCATCATGCCCGGCTTATAGTTGGCTTTTGAATGAACATCCTGACTTGACTTTCATCAGCACACCTTGTGGGAAAGGCAGTACCCAGCCTTGTCCCTCTTCCACCCACCACAGAGCCAGGGGCCCTCTTACCTTGGTGTGACCCGGGTGAGCTCGTCTGAAGGATGCAGGATGCGGCAGGTGGTAAAGGTGAAGGTGGAGTTGGTCTGTGACATGCATTTCCCAGGGTGGTGTGCTAGATTGGGGGAAGGGAAGAGAAGAAAACACATTCCTTGCATCTGAGTAAACCACAACAAAAATGAAAATCCACCACTGCCCACCGCAGATGCAAGAGGCGATGAGCCACCTTGTAACTGGGTCTAGGCAAGGAAAGCGAGACACCAATGTTCTGGACTGAAGGCAGTCTCTCAAAAACAACCATATTTTTGAGCACTGGTCTGCAGAGCATGGGATCCCAGTTTCCGGCCCAATCCAGACAGGGTTCCTCATCAGAATTCCTGGGTCAGTAGTGGATCCAGTTCCGGAGGTAGGGGGGCAGGAGACAGGTCTCAGAGCTCAGATCTGCTTTCTTTGATGTCATTTGCTTTATATTGCTTTCCATTGGCAAATGGGTGCCAGCACTCTGCCCAGGAGATGGGGGTGAAAAGGGCAGGGAGAGGCGCTTGTACTTGAGGCAGGAAGGTTCACACAGCTCCTTTTCTGTTCACATAAAAAGGGGCTTGGGGAAGCTGGCTCCACTACTGTCCACCTGCAATCCTCATGGGGGGAGGCAGCCTTTGCGGACTCACCAACAACACAAAAGAGCAAAGAACCCAGGACCTCTCAGGCCATGGCTCCAGGACCGAATCTGGTCTAACACACAATCACCCTTCACCCTGCCCAGCACCCTGACTGCTTTCTTTTATGCAGTCTCTAGATATCCAGTTTCTACCTTCTGGTAGAGACAACAGTATCTCTTTTAAGTGCTCTGAAGTGTTGTTGATAAGGCAGCTGAAGACGGTGGTTGGAACAAAATAAATCTCAGGAGTGTTAGGCATGCATCAGAAAGCCAGTGAAGAAACAAGTGATAGAGTCTAGAAAGACATCATGATTGTCAAGGTCATCCTCACTCATAACTCAAGCATCAGAGAAAAAAAGGGGGGGAGGGAGATGCACCAAAACACATGCATGAAGTTATGAGATGGGCACCCACCCCACCACCCAGCCCTTCCGCAATTCAGCCCCCAGAGACCTCCTGGGAGCAGACTCAGGATTTCAGAGGCCAGGAGACCCAAGAGCCATGAAGATTCAAAGAGCGGTAAACTAGAAGCATCCAGCTCTTTACAGTAAATGTTCTCTTGGGTTTGACAGAAAGAAAAAAAAAGGCCAACAAAATAAAACAGTTCAGATCCACAGTTGGCTGTGTCTTAAAAGAAAATCAGGAACCAGATGAAACAAACATGAAAAAAAATGTGTGTTGGGGGTTAGGGTTAGAGACACACAGGCTGAAGGCAAAGGGACAAAGCAAGTGTACACAAACAGTAGTAGTGACTGGAAGAGCAGGGCAATGGCTGTGCCCAATGGCTTGTGTGATCCAGCTCTGTGTGTCCCATGAGAATTCTGTGGCAGCAAGTACCATGGCCAGCGCCACGACCACACAGGCAACTTAGCCACCAGACCAGACCTCTGGGCAAAATGGGAAGAAAAAAACACAAATGAAAACCATAAAAACGGCCTTTGTGAGCTGTTGCTTAAGCATCAGATGGGATGGTTTCAGAGCTCAGGTAACCGATGGTGCTGCGGAGCGTGAATAAAAAATGCAACAAGCTATGAAGAGAAGATAACCGAACAATCACGAGTCTTGGAGAGCGATGAAGTCCAGGAACAAAAGCAACAGAAGGCCTGAGGGGAGGGTTATTTGGGGGGCACAGAGGGGGAAAGCAGTAAACAGATAGTTAACACACAGTGATTTTAAGAGGTAGCACAGAAACAAAAAAAATCAAACAAGGCAAGGCTGGATTTAGAATTAAAAGTGTAGCCCCCATTTGAACACAAGGCCTGAATATGGAGTTTCCTCCCCACCACCCCATTAGCTATGCAATCTCCAACTGCAGCACAGAGTACAAGAACGTTGAGAGATGGGGTTGAATCATCAAAAGAAAAAAAAAAAAAGCCCATTGACTACAAATGGGTTTGGGGAAATAAGAAAAGCCTGCTAAAAATTTGATCCCCACTCCCCAGGAATAGTGGACAGCGTTAAAGACCAACAGGGTAAATGATTGTCAGAAGTGTCCAAGCCGGAGATTCGGCCCCTCCACAATACCAATGGGACGCCTGGGCGCACGAGCTCTCGGTGTCACCACGGACTGCCGGGACGCAGCTGCACCTCCCTTCCTTGGGACACAACATAGAGACAGTGAGTTTCCCTGGGAAAGGCTGGCCAGGATTCCTGCTGGTCCCAGACAAGCAAAAGGTTGGCTTCTGAAACCCCTAGCTACGGGAAGAGATCAAGTTCTAAAAGCAAGAGACACATGCTTGTCAGGGGGCTCAGGTTTGGCACTGACGTCACCAAGACCACTCTACACACCAAAGCCCAGTGCCCAGCTCTGTTCTGAGTTCTAAATGGTGTCCCCCTCACCTGTTTCACCTTGAGAACACCAAGGGTGGGGTTTCTCAGAGTGACCATTCCAACTTCTAGCTGACATTCTTACTGTTATCTCTGTCTCACTGCTGGAGGGCTTCCAGGCATAGTGAGGGATGGACAGATACAAGAATTCACTGCAGCCAGGCGTCTGATGGGCAGGTGCTGAGAGCTTCAAAATGGCTGTTAGTGACTAAGGTGGGGACCTTCGGGGGCAGAGCCCTATGCTCATACCCTTTCCTTTCTTTTCAGCTAAAACGTATGTTGCAAACTGGGCATGCACAGAAATGTGCCCTGTCTCAAATAAGTATGTGAGGACCTCCCTAATAAATTCCTCACCCTTCCTCTGTTGAGGGAGAGCATCACTCTGGACATGACCCTCCAACTCTCCTTGCCTGCCACAGGTAATAAATCTCTCTGTACTCTTTCCTGTCTTGGATGTGCTTATTGGGCTTTGCATTCACCAAGATGGAGCCCCCTGTGCTCTGTTACATTACCACTAGCAGTGTGATCACTTTATATAGGAATGAATTTTCCTTTCCCAATCTAAGAATTCTACTATATGCTATGTTTATTGTTCCTTCTCTGTAAGTTTTGAGGCTGATGGAAAAACAGGCAAGCTTTAAAGCCAACTAAACCTCAATTATTAGAGGTCTTCTAAGGGGATGAATTACAGCCAGCTGTACAGGAGAGCACAGAAAGGGTGGGGACCACTCTGCTCCCAGATGTGATATCTATGCTTATGCCTGGAGTAGAGGCACCTGTGAGTGATGCTGCCTGCCCTCCCCTAGGGCTCATGGTGCATCAGCCCTGGCACATCCCTAAATCTCCAAGAGAGCTGGGGAGATGCTACATAAACCACAGGTGGATGCTGTGCTGTGGAGTGCTGAGGCCTCCCTCAGGAGACAGGCCAGGTAGCCTGCTGCTTCCCCACAGCCCAAAGCACTGAAAGGAGAGACTCACAGGCTGGAATGCTCTGCTGGGACCAGAGGCTCTGCAGGGAATGGAAGATGATTGGGACCCTGCCCATCTGGCCACTCCCATTTGGACATCCATGCTATTCCACCTCTTTCCTTTCTCTGGGAAGGGCAACCTGGTAACATGTGTGCTAGACAGAACAGTAGCTACTTTCCTCTCTAAATGCTACCCCAGGACCCAGGCCTTAAAGTCCCCAGGGGAGCCTGCACAGAAGTGCTGAAGCCTGCCACTGCAACAAGTCTTGAGGCACACACCCATGTTATTTTACAGGAACCTTTGGAAGTGGGGACATGCTGGCCATGTCACTCTTAAGCTTTGCTTTGTTTTGAGACGTGATCCCATGCAGCTCAGGCTAGCCTCAAGCTCTCTATGGGGCTTACAATGACCTTGAACTTCTGATCCTGCCTCTACCTCTCAAGTGCAGGGATTATAGATGTACGATCACCACATCTGGTTTATGCAGAGCTGGGGATGGAGCCCAGGGCTTTGTGCAATGCTAGGCAAAGGCTCTACAACTGAGATACATGTAAAGACCCAAGCTATATTTCAAAGAGCTTCTAAAGATGTCAAAAATATTTTTTTTTCAAATGCATTTGAAAATCTTGGATAAGGGACCCATCTTTGCAATGCCCAGAGTGCTCTCTATGTTCTTTTCCCACTCTGTAGAAAGTGGTGGACTCGGAGGAAATAAAGGAAATTTTCTTCCTCTCCTTTTCTTCTTGACTTAATCATGTATTATAAAGCTTTTGTCACGGGATACAGACCAGCTGTGCAGTATCTATGAACTCGTGTACACACACACATACACATACACATACACACACACCACTCTAAATTCCATCAACAGTGACATCCAGGGCCAGCAAACAGAACAAACCTGCTGAAAATCAAAGTGCTGTCAGCAAAACTGAAAGGCTTGAACTGCATGCTAAGAACACAAGTGTTTGTTATGGAATGGCCAGCTGGTGATGACTCTGTCCTGCTCAGGGTGGGGAGGTGGGGAGGTTTCCTTGCCTGTCAGCCATGAGACACAGGTTCCTTTCCATGAAGGCCCAAACAATGCTTTAGAATTCTTAAAAAGACAAATGTCAGGGCACAGGAAGATGCTTTAAAGACTTTTCCTGTCACCTCGTACATATATGAAAAGCTCTGTAAACCTGTGTCTGACCAATAACTATCTTTTAATACAGATTCAGGATGAGGGATTGCTGCATCACCAATCGGAGTGGTTTCAGATGACTCTGCAGACTTTTTTTGGTGTTTTGGCATCGGGGCTTGCTAAGTAGCTTAGGCTGGTCTTGAATTCATGATCCACCTGTCTCAGCCTCCTGAGTGCTGGGACTACAGATGTCTAGCTTCCTCCTCCCTGCAAACTACAAGTGGCTTAAAACCATAAAGCATTATACAATTACAAGGCAAAACTTTTTAAGCCCTTAGCTCCAGGTTTCCCTTGGTAACTACTTTTCTCTGCTTCTTAAATGATCTTTTGGCACAGTTTGAGGTCTGGTCCTGGAGTTCTGTGAAGGCCCTTGGCTCTCTGCCCATCAGATCTCTGTCTGGCAGGTTTTCTGGAAGGTTTCATTGTGGAGACTGTGAAAAGTATCACAAGCCCTTTTTCTGGCTCTATATAACTCATTTTTAGTTTCTGCAAAATTAAATTTTCAACTCCCACTATATTAAACTGTCTTTGTGTGTGTGTGTGTTTGTGTGTGTGTGTGTGTGTGTGTGTGTGTGTGAATTAGGAGATGAACCATTTCACAGCATCCTGCCCAGAGAGCTAGACATGCCGCCAAGTGCCTCTAGGGAAAAGAGAACATTGTGAAAATGTCAAAAGGCCAAATGAAACATTCTCTTTGGATCTTGACCCACAACCAAGCAGGACCCCGTGCCTGCTGTCTTCTTGTCCTTTCTCTTAGAGCTGACCCTTAGGGGCCAAGAAGCTGGTCTGACTGGGCTAAACAGAGTTATTGTCTGCGAGTATTTACAAAGCCAGGTCAGAAGGCTCAGCTCCCATTCTTCAGGGCAGTGTTATTGGTCTGCTCAACTGAACCTCAGCACTCCTGTGTGCCCTCTATATGAGCAGAGCCACATGTAGATGCCCACTCTTCAATGAGCCACGTGGGAACTGCTAGTGTCCTGGAGGCTAGGAGTTCCTGTGGTTTGGGAGTAGACGATACCATAGACAGCTAGACACAGGGGCTTTGTTCTGGAAGTTTTAAACAGGGCCAAGTCTGTTCTGTTCACTTTGGAGGAATCAATTCTCCCCTCACCGCTGTACTCTGGGTTAAGCTGGCCTGTTCTGCTCAGCTCACCATATGCTCTTAAAGAATACCAGGGCTCTCTTAGCATGTCATGACCCAGGTGGATGTGTGCAACCAATCACTCTGTAAGGACTCAAGGACACAGAGCCAGAGCTGGATGGAAAGTGCTCCCATTCGTGTGTGTGTGTGTGTGTGTGTGTGTGTGTGTGTGTGTGTGCTGGGGGGGTGAGGGGGTAAGACATTCAAAGGAATTTCCCTCAGCCAAAGATGCTAGAAGGTCTTCCAGGCACATTGGCCTCAGGGCCAGCTTCCTTACATAAGCCTACCTGACTGCTTCTGTGGACAATGGTGGGACTGAGAGCATGGTGGGATTCAGGAAGGAGGGCTGGCTCCAGTGGGGCATGAGCTCTGTGACAGAGCTGAAGGATGCTCTGCTGGATAGACTGCTGTCTGGCTGTCCATGGTGAGTTACTCTTTTCCTTCCCTCACTCCTGGACCTGAGTGTCAGATAAGGAAGCGGCTTCTACCTCTGGTGACCCTGGGGCTTGGGGATGTGGGGGCATTCCCAAGTCTGTTTTGTGATTTCCACCTTCTACACTGACTTTAGGATCTCAGTCCCAACTGTAACACATCTTTACTGCAGGGGCCACGGGCAGATAAGGGGCTGTAGTCTGCATGAACTGATCTTGCTATTTCCTCCAGGTGTGCAACAGATAAAGTGATCTTCAACTAACTGCCTTTTCCTCTCTTTTACAGCTCAAGGCATTCAAGAGAATTCAACTGAGCTGGCCACCCAAACACCAAGCTACCAATTCACCCTAATTAATCCTTTCCCACAGGCAAATTGTCCCCCAAAATAATAAAGTAAAATTTAGAATACTGGCAAGACATGGTGATGACTATTCTAATAAAAATGTGTTTCCTGTGTGAATTAAGAACGTAAAGTGTGTCATTAAAATGAAGTAAAACTATGACCTAAAAATTGTTTTAAACAATCCATTTTAATCTTCTAAATCGTTTACAACTCAATAAGACTGAACCATCCTTCTTAAGACATGAGGTTTTAAAAACCATCAGATGATGCTTCAAACAATACAAACAAGTGCTTGAAAACCTTGATAAAGTATCTAATAGACAAATCTTCCCAGTCTCCCACCCCATACTATCAGTTGGAAGAAAAAAAAGGTTAAACACCTTCTGATTCAAAGTTCCTCCCTACAAAATCCTCCTAAGCACACAGCAGCTCCCGGGAACTTAAGTGTCAGGGTTCCACCGAAGCAGAGATCAGCCCAGTGAGGCATAAATCCCAAGACAGAGGAGCCCAGCACTTCCCACTGAGACAGATCTGTCTGAGACCTCCTGACTGTCCACAAAGAACTAGGTAGGGTATCCAGTATGATTCAGAGTGGCCACACATCTCGAACTTCTGGCATCAGAATATTTCTGTGGTTTCAATAGCGAGAAAGAGAGTCAAGTCACTGTGCACACCTTCCCTCTGTGCAAGGCTTCCAGAGAAGGCCTTGCTCCAGAAAATCAGCTCTAGAGAACTTTCTATAATGAGGAAACCTTTCCTAAAGAACCCCAAGAGGCCTAGATTAACTGTGCTTTGAGCACACATGTTGAGCCCAATCCTTCTAGAGTTTCTGATATAAATGTGTGTGGCTCTCCTCAAATTGAGTTGCATAAATGTCCTCAGCAAGAGAGGATGGGGGCAGTGGTAGACGGGCTCTAATCCACATAACCTGCTTCTCTCTCCCTCTGTTGGTACAGTGAGCTTTATTCTTTCTGAACAACTTCTCGCAGAAGCACCTGTGGTGCTTCTTTCAATTTTGAGGATCTACCTATAGGAAGGGCATCACAGTTGACCTTTGACACCTGCCCTTTCAGCCATGGAAATCAGCCAGATACTGGGGAGGCCTGTCTTCAGATGGGCCCTGGTGCTGATAACAGAGAGGGGAAGGGGACTGAAGCTGGCTGTCTTTTCCTTTAATGGTTGGTTTTGTTGAGACAGGTTCTCACTATTAGCGTAGGTTAGCCTTGAATTTGTGACCATTCTGAGTGTTGAGATTATAAGTGTACGCTACCAAGTCAGCTTGGTTGCCTTTCTTAAGTGTAAACACTACAGGACAAATATTCTGCACCTTTCACTTGGTAAATTAATTCTAAAATCTCCAAAATACAAATCTACATGTGACTTGATAATACCTCTAGAGCTGACATTAAAGAAAACAGTGGGTCCAAATCAAGTCCCTTGGGATTAATGTGGGGCTGGGAGGTGCCATGGAAAACCTTGATTGATTCCTGCCTTGGATTTCATGGTGAGTATTGTGGCCTCTACAAATTAAAATTACGGATCAGAAAGATGAAAATCCTTTCTTCAAACTCTGTGACCTGGGAATGTTATGAGGATGATAGCACTGGGGTAATTCACTTGAACTCTTCTTCCCCAGACCTCTTTTTCTTCCCAGCACAGTGAGTGAGGAGGCACAGGACAGACTAGGACAGACGGGACCATATGAGGTAAATAGTAACCACATGATCCTCAGAGGCCCTGGGAGCCCTGAGTATAGTTTCTATCCTAGTGCAACTGGGGCGTGGGCCAGTCCACACACTCACATCACGGCTCCGGTGCCTGAGGAGTGGGACAGGGATTAGACAGAGTATCTAGCATCCTCTTTGGAAGAGCTCTGTGACATCTCTTAGGGTGTATCTGGTTAAAGAGTGTCACTAAAACACTTTTTTAAAAACTACTTTGAGCAGGGTGTGGTAGCCCATGCCTTTAATCCCAGCACTTGGGAGGCAGAGGCAGGTGGATCTCTGTGAGTTCAAGATCAGCCTGGTCTACATAGTGACTTCAGGCCAGCCGGGGCTACAGGGAGATCCTGTCTCAAAAAGACCAAAAAGAAAAGAAAAAGAAAAAACTTTGAACACATGAAAATGGTAACTATGCCTTCAATTGTTAAGGCAAGTCAAAAGCTGAGTTGTCTACTAAGTCATCTCAGCTCTTGAACATTCCCCAGGCTTCTGGTTTTCACATGTCCTACGGGTAACAGTTTCCCATTTGCCTTTCTCATTTCCCTAAAATTGCCCAACCTGGCTCGACTTGGAAATCTCAAGGGACTTAAAGAATCAGCCCTTCTAATGCAGGGCCAGACACCCATAACAGGAAGGAGGGAGCCCATGTTCTCAGAGCCCAGTAACCCCACTTCTTTTTAGCAGCCTCTCCTGCCCTCCTTTTCAGAATCCTGCTGGTCTATACCACTCCAAGACAGGCAGGGGTGACCCCCATTTGTCACAATGTGGAGGTATCAGGACTCTGTTAAAAACAGAACCCAAGGATGGGAAGTCTTTCCCCACGTCACCCACACAGACGAGCGGAAGCTACAGACACAGAGCCACTACGGATGGTGCCCAGGACAGAGGTGAGCATGGCCCGGAGCTCTGCCTCTGTTGGGTTTATAGGACTTATGGACGCACCCTCACCAGACCCCTCCTCCTCCTCCTCCTCCTCCAGGCCCGCTGGCAGCTCATGCATCTCCTCTGGGGAAGCTGGAGGCAGGCTTGAGAAACTTCTGCTGCCTGAGACAGTCACGTGTGCTCGGGACCTCTCACCTGAGGTCTCCGGGTGCTGAACTGGCGTGGAGGTAGCTAGGCCCGTGAGAGAAATGTGGTCACCTGTGTCATCTTCCTCAAAGTCATTAAGGCAGTACACTTCATCCAGGTCAACATCTAGTGTCCGGAAGCCCTTGGTGACCACACCGGGCCGGGGGTCCAGGATGCCCCCCAGATGAGGCTGGGCCAGTTGCTGCCAGTGGTGAAGTGTGGCTGAACCTGGCAGGAGAAAGAAGATGGGGATGGAGGGTTAGTGTGCCCTGAGAGGGAAAGGTTTCTCACCCTCAAAGAGCTCAATGTGAACCCACCAGGCCTGAGATTGCACAAGGACCTCAGGAGGGACCAGGTCACTGTGGTTTGGCCCTTCCAACTGGACAAGGGTGCTATACCCTACTACACCAGTAGGAGGTACTACTGTAAGGAACCAACAATTTTGTAAAGCAAAATATGTGGTATGTACTGTGTACCAATGTTTGCTAACCAAGTATTTTAGCCATCTAATGCCAACCCTAAAATTTAACACATCATTTTACTAAAGTAATAGACTAAAGATGGCCAACAAGCATCAGAGGCAACTTGTGTCAACTGTATACAAATAACTGGGAACAGGGGCGACATAAGTTAGCCCAGCCGAACTAGCTTTCCGACTTCCCACCCTAGACTTTCATGAGAGTATTACAAAAGGAAAGGTCAGGAGCACAGGGAGGTAAGCGGGGGGGGACCTAGCACCTCCTTCACTTCAGAAGCTACAGAGGTGAGGAACTGGGTGAAGAGGTGTGATTTAAGAATACAGTAAGTCTGCACAGAGCTCTAAAGCAGAGAGCCGATCTCCAGGGTGACACCCTGGGGCTCAGGTGACAGTCTGTGAGGTCTGCAGTAACACAGGGGAAGAGTGTCCATGACAAGCCTTAAGGTATGATGGCACCCTACCCAGAGACATGCTCCAGGACCTGGTGTATCTGGGAAACCTGGGTACTGAAGCAGAGCCCAAGGACATCTTAGTGACTCTAGTGTGCTGTGGGTGCGCCAAGCTTCTCCTGGACAGGGCAAGCCTTTTGTCCTCTTGGAACACCTGTCACACCTCACAGGATGTCTGTCCCCACTTTACAGATAAAGAAGTTACTCAAAGGCACATGGCCACAAACAAGCATCTCATGTTCCAGACAGACATTTAGAGAGGCTCTCAGAGGCAGGAGACTGCCTGTTCAGGTAGCTTCTCTAATATCAGCACTCAGGGCTGCTTGCTGTGTGGGCAAAAATCCCTCCAAGTCATCCTGTTGGAATGAAGTTGAGGAACCACAGATGCCAGGAGCCAGCTGCTAGGGTCTTAGGAAAAATTTGAAAATTAGCAATTTCAAGTTCACTTAAAAGAAAAAAATGTACACACCATGAACCTAAAAAACTCAATACAAAGGTCCACATCCATTTTAAGGGTACACAATACACCGTGTACCCTCCCTAAGGAACCTGGACCTACTGAATGGAGCTGAAAAATGCATTCTATGCACAAAAGAAAAAAAAGACATCAAAGAGGGGGAGAAGGGGGGGATGGTGTCCATACCTGTGAGAACTAGAAGAGAAGTTCTCAACCAGGGACAACCCCCTCACACACCCAGGGGGAACAATATCTGCAGGCTTTTTGGTGGTCACAACTGTAGAAGAAGATGAGGATGCTAACATCATCAGATGCAGAGGTCAGGGTGGTGCTAAACATTCCAAGATGCTCACATGATCCCCACAGCAAAGAAAGTTTGGCTCACACAGCACCCATGCTGAGACTGGGAAGCCTGGCCCCAGAGCTGCAGTTCTTAACTCTGGTATCTTTTGAGACTCTGAAGGAAGCCACTGGTCCTAAAAAAAAAACGCGTGTAGCACGAACACTGAGCAAATGTGGCCAGGTAGTTGTAGGATCCTGAGCCCCAAGGTGCAATGCATCACTGTTTCAGAAAGCTAGCTGGTATCAGACAAGGCGGTATGGTGTGCTTCTGTGTGTTTACATGCAGCATGCTGCTAGAGGGATAACTGGAAGTCCTCTAGAAGCTATCCTGTTAGAGGACACTCTAACTTCATACTGTAGAAAGGAACCTACAATCCACTTTGTATGTAGTCCAGCGTGACGTTTTGAGTTACTGTAACCTAGTTGTAATTCAGATGGGACTTGGGAGGAACTTAAAACTTAGTGGCCTTTAGTGTATGTGAAACTCCCACTAGAGAGAGAGAGAGAGAGAAAGAGAGAGAGAGAGAGAGAGAGAGAGAGAGAGAGAACCAGAGTACCAGAGGCTGTAAGGAGAGGTACTAGCACCATGGGTCTCTGGCAAGGCTGACTTGAACAGAGGAACTAGACCAAACTTTGGAATGACTGGCTGCCTTCATTTGCCCTCCCGACAGGAGAGGAGATGGATGGCAGGTCTCTGGGGTGTTAACCTGCTGTCTTCTGATTGTTGGCTCTCTGAAAAAAGCACAAGCTTGGAAGACTCTAATCTTGTCTAGTTATTGGCATTCAAAGTGATGGGCAGTTTAAGCTTGGGTATTCTGGTTACAGCATCAATTCACTATGACATGTGTGTGTGTGTGTGTGTGTGTGTGTGTGTGTGTGTGTGTGTTCATTCACTCTGTTTTACACGTAGTACAGCAATTCACTGATCAGAACCACCCTGAGGCACAGATTCTCACTCAGACTTTACAAGTGGGGGAATGGAGGGTTCCTGAAGCTAAGTAACTGAGTTAGTGCTGAGCAAGTCAGAACATGGTGCTTTGCCAGGAACCTGGGCTGAGAGGGCAGCAGGGAAGAGATGGGGTACATGGACAGCAGGCCTGGCCTCCAGCTGGAGGGATAGGGTACATGGACAGCAGGCCTGGCCTCCAGCTGTAGAGATGGGGTAGATGGACAGCAGAGCTGGCCTCCAGCTGTAGAGATGGGGTAGATGGACAGCAGGCCTGGCCTCCAGCTGCAGAGATGGGGTACATGGACAGCAGGCCTGGCCTCTAGCTGCAGAGACGAGGTACATGGACAGCAGGCCCGGCCTCCAGCTGTAGAGATGGGGTACATGGACAGCAGAGCTGGCCCCCAGCTGTAGAGATGGGGTATATGGACAGCAGGCCTGGCCTCCAGCTGTAGAAATAGAATGCATAACCCACAGGAGAACATCCAGGTGAGACTCTAGAGCCCAGCAGGAAACACACTGCTTAGGGTTCCTCTGCCACCCTCAGAGCCCCTATCCCACTGCCCATGTGCTGGCTTACAGAAGCTCACCAGAAGAATCCTTGCGTCAGCCTGTTATAGCCGACTTGGGCCTGCACCTGTACCCAGGGTATATGTGGATCCATGTCTACCTCATTTCTACCTTTAGAAAGGGAAGGAAGGTGAAGATAAGAGATGGGAAAGTGAGGAGAATGTTGGGGAACACCACCTCTCCTCACCCTTCCACAAGAAGGGATGATCACAATCCACTGGGGAAGGACTCTGGGTTCTGGCAACAGTCTTAACCAGTCTCAATCCTCTATCTTTTAGACAGTCCCTCCCCCAACCACCCCCTCTCCCTCAGATGGACTCAAGAAACAAGTTCACCACGAGTCTTCTGAGTGGCGTAAAGAAGGCTATGGCAACAGTTGGAGTTCTTGCATTGCCTGAAACTGCCAAGGAAATTCAACACAGGTTCAAGTAAAAGATGATCCCAAAAGGCATCCAAGATGGACTTGGATTTTTAACCCATGCTTGGGAGTCCCTTACATCGGAACAGCCAGGCTTTATTGGGCTTAGTGACCATTGGCTACCCTGTGTGTGTAACTCCTTTTGTTTGCATGATCACTCCACTGTCTCCATTTTACCCCATTTTACAGATGAGGACACTGAGCATCTGGAGGGAAAGTCACTGGCCAGAGGTTGCATTAAATAGCAAGTGGCCCATCTAGGATCAAAAGGAAGGCTAGCTCCAGTGTTCATTCCCTGATAGTCTCAGTGGGGAAGACGCCTCCCACAGCCAAGAGCAAGCCCAGTTGGTGTTTGTAATCACCGAGTGGGTGTTTTCTATTCCATAGACATGAAGGCCATCTCAGCTTTGACTATGATCTTATGCCAACAGTGGGGCTGTGCTTCTCGGCCCCAGGGTTCCCAGAGTCCAGAGCCTAAGCAGAAGCCCTCTCACCTCCCCACCCTGTGGCCTCCATGCCCTAAACCACTCTGTAGGAATTCTATACACCTCCTGGCTACCTGAAAGACTTCAGTCTTTCCATTGATAATGGGAGCAAATTTAAAAGTGAGTATGAATCATACCTCATTCAGAGCAGAGCCCAGGCTGCCTCTTCCCTCTCCTTCAGTCTCTTTCCCCAGCCTGGCCTCTTCCCCATGTCCAATACAAAGCAGGAGAATCTGTGCTAATTGTCAACTTCCCATCATTTACTCCACTAAGATCTGCCCAGCCACATGAGAACAGGCAACCAGGCAAGGAAAGAGGTGAACCTTTGTGCCCCTGATTGGCATGATGACCAAGTTCTATTGAATAAGAGAGATTATGGAAGGAAATGTAATTCTGGTCACTGTCTCTTCCCCCTCCTTTCCTTGCACACCCTACTGTTCCCTCTAAAAAGCCTTCCCATAATCACAGAAGGGGGAACCACATCTCCATATGTCAGAGGGGCACAGGGGCTTAACAGAGTACAATCCTCCTGATAGTAAGCCCACAGCGTGAGCTTCCCCAATTACACACTCATCCCTGCACTTGGAAATTCTATCCTTGTTGTAAATAAAGAAGGAAATACAGGAAAAGGAATGGCACCGTCTCAGGCTTTTTAAGGTGGATCTCTCTCTCTCTCTACATGTTTGTTCTTCACCTGCTCACAGTCTGTAAGGCCGGATGAGGCGATGAGCACATTCTTCACACATGGCTCACAGCTCCTCTGACACAATTAGGAGATGGCAAGGTGGATGGAACGGGAAGAGGAGACGTAGATGGAGCACACTGGTTGGCTTTGTGATGATCCCAGCCAATGGTCTCCAGGGACTGCACCCCAGGTACCTTTACCTGGACTGCTGGAGATAAAAGAAACACTACCAGTGTCTCATTGGGCCAATGGAAGTGGAAGTAAGACCATGACCCCAGCATGTGGGTCCACATCTTAACACTGGTAACTGGGTAACTGGGCCCCTTACACTTGAGCACCTGACTGAGGAGCAGGTTTGACATGCCTGAGTTTGAATAAGCACCTACAGGATGTCAGGCACAATGCAGCATGTACTATGTTTATTCCTCACCACAATCTTGTTTGACACCCATCAGCCTACATCACAAAGGAGGGAAACAGCTCAAAAGGAGGGCTAACTTCCCCAACACCACAGTTACAGTGTACAGAAGCTAAAGCCAGCAAGACTTCTATGCCAACACCCCACCTTATCAGAGTAACCCCAATAACACAAACATTGATTGTGGGGGCAAAAGAAAATATTAGTTGTATTTTAAGACAGAAGTCTGAGAACTACAAAATGGAGCCAAAAGGATCTATGTCATGAGGCTGTGTTACAGGCCATGGTGATAACATGACTTTTTAATGGCAGTAATTTAACTTCCTGAGGACCAGGGTGCTATAGATGAAATTCAGCTTTCAAAGTTGAGTGGGATTTCTTCCTATTCTGTTAACTTGGCCTAAAAATGCTATAATCCCAGTCACAAGGTTAGAAGAAATCAAGAAGAATTGGTCAAAATAAATTTTTCAAAAATCTCATTCTGTGATGTACTTGGAACATGAACTTCAGAGCATGTTTCTGGGTGATCTAATGAAACATAGTAAGATATGGAGAGAGACAGAGATGATAAAAGTCTAATAATCTTTGGGAGACAAAGGAAACAAAAAAGAAAAGAAAGGCAGAAAATAAAACTGCAGAAATGGAAGATTTTATTCAAAGAAAAACAGACATGATAGCAGATCAGAAAACAATTCCCAAGCTTACAACTGAATAAAATGAAAAGAGCAAGGCGTCCCTCCCCTGGACCCAGGGAGGGCTGAAATTAAATAATGAAGACGTGATTATGAAAACAGAAGAAGAAGAAAAAAAAAAAAAAACAGTCCCCATCTGCTGTCTTTCTCTGGAAAACACAGGGACCAAAACAAAGTTTACAGCCTGCCTGCCCAACACTGTCCCCAGGGGCAAAAATAGGGGCTTTTGAGGTGAAAATAATTGTTCTCCTTTTAAACACAGAACACAAGTTTTTACCCGTGTGAATAAAAAATAATCTGTGGAATTAAATTTTCACAGTGGGGAGTGCAATTAGGTTAAAATATCCAAAGACATTCTTAGAAGGGATGATACTAACAGCTGAGAAAAATACTGACATATAAACATTTGGTTTTATATCAGTAACAAAATAGAGGATTCTAAAGCACCTCCTCCAACTCACATGGGTTTCCAAACTAAAGAAGGGAAAAATGAAAACTCCACACATTGGGTGGTTCTTGGCAGGGCAGCATGAGCCCCAGAAAAAACATTCTGTAATAGCCAATTCAACAAAAGGAAAAAGGGGAGGTTTTCTACGAGCTCGGTCTTCTAAGAAGCCCAGATACCATTAATAAAAAGTAAAAGACCTTTGGAAAGAGGCTTAAAGGAGTCTAAACTAGCTGGCCCCCACCACTACGCCTCCTTTCTGCCTCCAAACTGCAGACTGCACACCTTCAGAAAGCCACTCCCTCTTTCTAAAAAATAGGTCACAGCTCACACAATGCTTCCAAGTGGTTACTGGGCAGAAACCTACTTACAGTGTTCGCTTGGTGCTACTTGTCAGCATAATTTCTGAGAAGTCAAAGCATTTCTTTTTCTACCTTTCTCGGACCCTCAGGCATGATCCAGAAATAGTTTCTGTTGTAGAGAGGGTGAATGGTCACCCCGGGGTCTGAAGCAATGCACCTGCCGCTAGATTGTGGCTCCTAAGGCACTAAAGGCAAAAGAGAGAGACTTGGCAGGCCACCTCCCTGGGGTGGGTTCAGTTACCCCAGGACTGCTCAGCTCAACCTGCGATGCAGAGGTTGCAGAAACCAAGGCCACCTCAGAGGAACTCAAACCAGCAGCGTGGGTGGCTGTCTCGGAAGAAAAAAGAATATGTATGACAGCAGTGGCCCGCTTTCCGGTGATGGATCAGGGCCCAGAGCGAGTCGCAGAGGAGGACAGAGAGGGGCCGCGGCCCCAGGTGGTCACCTTCGAGCGGCTTTACAATCTGCAGCTTCTCGGGCAGGTAGGAGCGGCTGCTGAAGGACATGCCGGAGAAGCCGGTGAACTCGGAGAAGCGAGAGTGTGTGCCCAAGGACATGATGCTCTCGGTGGGCGTGAGTGAGCCGCTGCGCAGCTCCCCCTTCTCTGCCAGCTCACGCAGCTTCCGCTCCTGCTCCTCCTCGAAGAACCTCCGCTCCGACAGGTAGTTCTCCCTGCGCAGGGACAGCCGCCTCAGGGCCGTCTCCAGGTCGTGGGAGCCCGGGGTGCCCGGCGTGCCGGGCTTCTTACTGCGTTCCTCGTTCCTGGGGAAGAGAAGGGGGTAAGGACTGGTGGCCAGCAGGGGGCGCTGGTCACCCTGGTTCTAGTAAGTGCTGTGCACGGATGGGACGTGGCCTAGATACCAGAGCCAGCCATGGGCATGCTAATCAGGACAGGGAATAAACATCTGCCCTGAAGAAGGACTTCTGAGTCTGATCTAGTTTATCTTAGTGCGGACCATCGCACCAGGACAGACAGAAAATTTGCACATAAAATTTTCCTCTTTTTATAAGCATCTTTTTGGTCATTTAGGAGGAACCCTCCTTCAGGTGGCTGTTCCTGGGTTCCAGAGGGCAGCTGATTTAGGAGAGCCGGCTTTTTCCTATTACATGAAAGGGGCTGAGCGCTCAACTCTGAGTGAATCCATTTCTGATTATGGAGTTCCCATAGTATGGCTCAACTGGTCCAAATAATTCATTTTAGTAAGTGCGAGGACCAGAGTCAAGGACCAGAGTGTACAGGGTGGACAGTGGAGGTGGGTCTGCTAGGCTCTGGGACAGAGGAACTGACTATCCTTAAGGAAAGCCCGCATCCCAACAGCCCCCAGCATTCCACTCATGAAGCAACCCAGAGAGCTCAAGTCCCCCTCACCCTTACAGTATCCAAACTACAAAGGGTCAGGAAGGGGTTGTCATGAAGCAAATGTCTATTTTTTTTGCTTAACAGTGATGATTCATGGGAAATAATATTCGTTGATCCTCCCCTTCAGCGTGTTATTAAAAAACACATTTCTGGTATCAACTTGACAAATCTCTTTAAAAAAATATCTGTTATGGATAAAGTGGATAGATGGGATCTAGAGAAGTCCAATGTCAACAATCACTGGGCTCTGCTCACCCACCTCTCTCTCTCTCTCTGATGGTGACCCAACCCCCCATTCAATCTGCACTACCTCTCCCCTCTGAAACAGAAAGATAAAAGCCCCTAGCCTGCTCACCCCAAGTCGGCTGCTTCAGTTTCCAGGAGGATGCTGTTAGTCTTGTTATCAAGGACCACATTGCCGACGTCGCTGCCATAGAAGCTGGAGCGGGGGGTGCTGACGCAGCTGGACAGGAGGGAGTTCATGGCCGAGGACTGGTTGGAACCCGGGATGTTCATGGGGGAAGGGGTCAGTGATCTCTGCTTGACCACTTGGTTGATGTTTCTCACCGTCTCAAAGACACGTTTCTGGTGGCTGGTGAGAACATAGCAACCATGAGCAAGGACCTGGAGGTAGACTCTCCCCAGATGACCAACACCAAAATAGCACCTCCAGGACCTCCCAAGTAGCCTGCTGGGCTTCAGTAACCTGAGGACTTCAGTGTTCCTTAGGGTACAGGGTGCATCCTTCATAGTATGGTATCAGGAAACTTAATACCCACTGAATCTAAGTCCCACTAGTGTAGTCATGCATAAAGGTGCAGCTAGCCCAGATGACACAGCTTATTACACCCCCAAAACCTGAGCTACAAATAAAAGCACCCAAGCACTATTTTTGTGGGTAGCACATTTCTTCTCTCAGATCTACACAGAATGCAGGCTCCAGGGAAGCAATGTTCACTGTGGGACATATGGAGTGCAACAAATATCTGTAGAATCTGTAGAATGTATTGAGTATGTGTGACTATTCATATAATTAAAAAGCAAGTCTTAAAATCAGCTTAAACATCTACCATGAGATGATAAAATACCCTACTTGTCTACTTTTAGAAACTGCTATTTCTAAAAAGCAGAACCACACTTTGATGTTAATATGCTCGCTCTCTTTAGGGAACCACGTTTCTGGAATGGTTGCTTCCTCTAGGGGCACAGGAAGTTTCACACACACACCAAAGTCACTGGGGCACCTGCCACTCAGTGTCTCATTTAAGTTTTGTCAATGGAGTTTGAGTAGAGTGAAAGCAAGGTCCCTGGGTCTGCTAAATGTCCCGGGGCAGGCTGAGCCAGCATCTGAAGTAAGGACAGATGGGGAGGCAGAGATCCTAGGGGCATTCAGAAGAAACGGGAGCCTGGCTCACACCACTGGAGTCCCTGTCTCATTCTGTTTTGTTAATTTTCTTAGTAGATATTAAAACTTTTTAAAGTAATGCTTTTCACTAAAGGAAAAGAGAGATTGATAGAGAGATGGGAAACATGGGCCCTTTTCTACCTCCCTGAAGTTGATCATGTAACTTATTTTTTTGAGACAGGGCCTCATGTGTCCCAGACTGGCCTTGAACTCACTATGTAATCAAGGATAATCTAGAACTTCTGACCCTCCTGCCTCTGCCTCACAAGTGTTGGGATTACAATATGCACCACCATGCCAGGTTTTATGTAGTGCTGGGGACAGAACTCGGGATTTCATGCATGCTAGACTAGCACTCTATCAGCTGAGCTACAGCCCCAGCCCTCATCACGTGACTTTAAAAACCTCCTAAGAGGAGCTGGATATATAAGACATGCTCTCTTATTTCCCTTAATCCAACCGGGAAGGATCACAATGGTGCCTGAGGCCCACATGTTGCTAGTGTATGAACATCATAGGTCCTAAGTCAGTCTGTACTTGGAACAATAAAAAGTATGTGACCATACGTGATGTCTGGAGACTCGGGCTCTTCCAGCTGCAGCTCCTTGCGCATCGTTCCCTCAATCTCCGCTGCCAAGGAGTCCTGGGGAAAGCCAGAAGACACATATCAGGTGAGCAGTCTCAAAAGCTCTGTTTCTAGATAAGGTTTGAGGCTGGAGGAGCCGTACGAGAGCATCCATAAACCCCACAGTACAACACAAAGTTAAGAGCATTCTCCACTGACAGGGACCCGGCTGAGTCATGGCCAAAGCAGGTTCTGAGCACACAGCACCTTTGTGTGCAAGTATACAGCCTCAAGTCACAGGAGGCTGAGGGTCTGACAGCAAGTCTCTGGCTCCCTTGGTCAAATCACATAGCTGAAATTGTGGCCACAGTGGGGAATAGAGAGCTCATGGGACACAGGAAAGTGTGTTCTGAATGATGGGGACATGTCCATCTCCAAATATCTCCATGCTTCCAAAAGGCCCTGTATGGCCTCATAGCCCCCATGGGCTATATTAAGTTGTCCTCCCAGGTCATCAGGTAGGCAGTTCTGGACCCCTAAGATTATCAAACACAGGACAGACCAAGATTTACAACTCCAATTCCTAGGCAGGCTCTCTGGCTCTGCAGGGGGAAAGGTCCCTGCCAGCATGAACTGAGTCATGGGTAACTCTGAGCCTTGTTTGGCCTCCTTCAAGGGAAGGTCCTCTTCCCACCAGCTAGCCATGACCCATCCTAACCATCTCCCCACCAGCTAGCCATGGCCCACCCTAACCATCTCCCCACCAGCTAGCCATGGCCCACCCTAACCATCTCTCCACTAGCTAGCCATGGCACACCCTAACCATCTCTCTACCAGCTAGCCATGGCCCACCCTAACCATCTCCCCACCAGCTAGCCATGGAGCACCCTAACCATCTCTCCACCAGCTAGCCATGGCCCACCTTAACCATCTCCCCACCAGCTAGCCATGGAGCACTCTAACCATCTCTCTACCAGCTAGCCATGGCCCACCCACCCTCACCATCTGTACAGGAAATATGGAACTGCTGTTTCCAGGAGGAACCTTATATTTCCTCTCTATAGACAGCCTCTATCCTCACTACCACCACACACACACACACACACACACACACACCTCAACTCCTTAATTTTTACTAGTTTTCTTGAGCACACAATTTCCCTTCCAGGGAGGCCATGAGTCTCAGTTTCAGGAGAAGGCCCGTAGTCTCTGAGGGGCTTCTTGCTTCCCAAGGATGCTAGGTGAGATGGACATCCCCTCTCAGCTTCCACCCATCCCTATCTGAGGCATGTGACCTTCAGTTCATGTTGTCTTTTTTTGCTTTGTTTTGAAACAGTCTCACGTAGCCCAGGCTGTCTTTAAATTTGTTTGCTATGTTGTCAAGGATAAACTTCTGATCCTCCTGCCTCTACTTCCTGAGTGCTGGATTACAGATGTGCACTAGCAGTCTAGATTTATGCAGTGCTAGAGACTGAACTCAAGATTTTGTGCATGCCAGGCAAACACTTTATCAACAGAGCATGATAGATGCTTACTGGTTAGTATGTAAGGAAAGCCTGCTGAGCACCCAGAGGCACTGATGTGGGCCCACCTGAAGGGAGAGCTAACTCCATGTAACCAATGTGGCTTTCTGATTGGATGGGCTGTCCTCTATTATCCCTGTTCAACACAGAAGCCACAGTGGCTACAAAGCCCTTGAAATGTGGCCAGGGTAACCAAAGAACTGAATGAACTATATTTAATTTTAATTGATTTGGCTTTACACAGCCTTCAGTGGTCAGTGCTTCCCAACTGGTAGCACACAATGCCTCTGGAATACCACAGTCCACAGGAATATTCCAATAAGGAGCTGTAGGCAAGTGTGGAAAGGCCAGAGGAGCCAGCAGGAGGCTCAATCCACGATGGATGAGTGGGGGCACTGGCAGTTCTTACCACAAATTTTATTCACGATTACTACCTGGTGTGTTTCTAGTGACTGGCTTCCCCAGGGACGTCTGAGGTCTGTGTCATCCAGTGTATTTTTCTTTGCTTCTTTTCATTATGTATGTATGTTAGGCGGGCACGTGTGAGTGCACTTATATATGCCATCTATGTGCATGTGTGGAGGCCGGAGGGCAGCCGTGGATGTCATCCTCAGAAATGCCATTCACCTCCTTTAATACAGAATCTCTCATTGGAATGGGGCTCGCTGACTAGGCTAGGCTAGCTAGCTGGTGAGCCCTAGAAATCCTGATGTCTCTATCTTCCTAGTGATGGGATCACGAGTTCGAACCACCATGCCGAGCTTTTTTATATGAGCTTTGGGGATTGAAGTCAGTGCATAGCAAGCACTTTACAAATGAGCCATCTCCCAGCCCCATCATTTTTGTTTGTTCATTTGTTTATTGAGATGAGACAGAGTCTCATTATGTAGCCCTGGCTGTCCTGGAATTTGTTAGCTACGTAGACCAGGCTGGACTCGAACTCAGAGAGAGATCCACGTGCTTCTGCCTTCTGAATGATGGGATTTAAAAAAGAGATGGTTCAGCAGTTAAGAGCACTGACTGCTCTTGCAGAGGACCCGGGTTTAATTCCCAGCACCCACATGGCAGCTACAAACCATCCTTAACTCCAGTTCCAGGGGAATCTGAAACCCTCTTCTGACCATCTCAGCATTGCATGACATGGGTGCACTTACATACATGCAGGCAGTACACTCATACACATTTTTTAAAAAAAGTATAAGCCACCATACCCAGTCCATAACAATATTCCTAAATGAATAAAATAATTAAGATGACAGAACAGATTAGTAATTTGCTTCTATCATCTATCTATCTATCTATCTATCTATCTATCTATCTATCTATCTATGTATCTTCATCATCATCATCATCATCATCACCATCATCTATCTATCTATCATCTACTCTGGCATTAAGACTGTAGGGTAGTCAATACTGACTACCAACTTTACAGGATCTACAATCACATAGAAGACAAGACTCTGATAAGTCTATGAAGAAACTTCTAGATAAGGAAGACCCACTTTAAAGGGGTCCTGAACTGAGTAAGAAGAAGAAAGTGAGCTGAACACCAGTGTTCACCTCCCTCTGCTTCCTGACTGCAATGTGACATGACCAGCTGCCTCACACTCCTGCCAGCACGCCTTCCCTGCCATGGTGGACTGCACCCTCCAAGTATGTGCAAAAATAGATCTTTCCTCCTTTGAGTGACTTCTATCAGGTACTTGGTCACAGCGATGAGAAAAGTTACTAATACAGACTGCTAATTATATTGTAAGGTGAGTGAGACCTAGGGTATTTGGGGGGCATCTGCAGCTCTGAACTGTGCTGTGAAATGCCTGTGCTCTCTACAGATGTTCACAGGAGAGGTGATAGCACTGTGGTTTCCTAGAAGAAAGGAGTACTGAACACAGGAATTGAAGAAATAAGAGTTTTTCCTCAGGCTTCATGCTTCCCCCTTCCCAATTCTACCTATGGATCGCAGATTAAGAACTCCCGCCATAAAGCAACAGAACTGGGAACATTATTGAGGAAAAACTGCCCCTGACAGAATGGCAGGGAATAAAAGAGGTAGATCTGGACATTCAGGTGTAGAAACACGGGCATGCTGCGATCTTTAGCCTGCTTTGAATGCCTTTAGTGCATGGCGCACTTTCAAAACAACCATCTTTAAAACCCAGGCTTGCCAAGAGCTATAGAAAAAGGCAAACAAAAGCTTTCAGTAAATATGAAAACTGAGAATCTCTCCAGGAGAAAATGAAATGCACATTCACAATTCAACTTTTCCCATGCGATGGTTGGCTTCCTTTTCTTTTAAAATTTCATGTAGCTAGTGTGTGTGTGTGTGTGTGTGTGTGTGTGTGTGTGTGTGTGCGTGCGCGCCACGTGCCTGTGAAGGTCAAAAGACAACTTTCTCCTTCCATCTTGCTGAGGCAGGGCCTCTCTTGTAGTTTCTGCCATCCCTCAGAATTCCATGTTAGGTGGCCTGCAAGCTTCTAGCAGGTTCTCTGGTCTCTGCCTCCCATCTCACTGTAGGAGTGCTGGGATTACAGATGTATACCATCACATCTGGCTTTCTATGTGGGTTCTGGGGATCAAACTTAGGTTGTCAGTCTTGTGCAGCTAATGCTTTTATGGGCTGGGCCATCTCCCCAGCCCTGGTTCGGTTTTCAAAAACAGTTTTAACCCTTCACCCATGCTCCTATAAGTTACCCCAATAAACTCATTGGTTCACCAAGCTGGACTTGGATGGAACTATTTCCTTGGGCTGCCATTGCCCTCTCTATCTGGAGTAAATAGAAAGAGATTTCCTAGGGAAAGTACCATGAGATGAAGTTTCTCTCTAAAGCTCTTCTCAACTAGTGAGATGGCTCAGAGGGTAAAGGTGCTCGCTGCACAGGCCTGATAACCTGAATTTGAACCCTAGAACCCATCTAAAAGTGTTAGCAAATAACCAACCTCATAAAGTTGACCCTGACCTCCACACATGCGCTGTGGTTTGTATGCACACACCCTATACACAGTAATAACACATAACGTTTAAAAATTTTTAAAGCTCTTCTTGCCTCAAAGATAATTTGGTATTCTGTCAGATCATTGAAACAAAATCTGAATATACAGGGACTCTTTGTAGTTTTACTTCAGGCCATCTGCCTGTCATCCATCCACCCATATGCAGTCTCTGCTGAGCATCTACAATTCAGCAGGCACAGAACTGTGTGTGGTACACAGCTAAGACATGGCCCCCACCTTCAAGAAGCTTTAGTCTGCTCGAATATAAAATGAGCTCTCTTCCTTGTCAGCAAATGTCATAGGGAAATGAGTGAGCGGCCCAGACCTGCTGTTGCCCAACTTCCATGAAGAGATTAAACTAGAAACCCTCTTTGACTACCATGTTCCCCCCAAAGTCCAAACATCAAACAAACCAGGCCATGGCTAAAGAAATAAGATCATGAGGAGATACTATGAAGGGAATGCAAAAGTTGATTTCAGATCCCAGACACTAAAAGCCACTAAGAGAAGGGTTAATAAACATACAAAGAATCAGCAGAGGTTCACAGGCAGAAATGGAGGATGTGCTGTGGGGCCAACCAGCAGTCACTACAAAAGTCAGAAACAGTTGTTAAGTAACGTGTAACCAAACGAAGTTCCCAGTAAACATATCTCTTAACAGCAGGAGTAGGGAAGATAATAGATTTGAAGAGAGAAAATCATGACCCGATTTATCTTAGGGAGTTAGGAAGACACCAGCTGCGCTCAAATGTCTCTGACATTAAGTCCAGGTCCAGGGGCTGGAGGAAGAGTTCAGTGGTTAAGAACACTGGCTGCTCCTGCAGAAGACCCAGGTTTGATTCCCAGCATCCACATGTCAGCTAACAACATCTGTACCTCCAGTTCCAGAGGATCCAACGCCCTCTTCTGATCTCTGTAGGCACTGCATGACCTGGGTGCACCTACCTCCATGCAGGCAATACACTCATACACATAAAATAAACATAATAAATAAAATATTAAAAAAAAACAAGTCCAGGTCCAAACCGCAAAACAAGCAGTTCACTGTAAAGAGGCAGCTCTGGTGGTCAGAACGGACCATTCAGAGCCGTTATCCTGCACTGAGGGCAAGCATATGGCAAGGTGAGGGTGTGGGCAGAAGGGGACAGAGGGGAATGGGGAGCACCAGCTCACCATGGGAAACAGGCCCAGTGAGTGGTAGCGCCGGGATGTGGTGTTGGGCATGGTCTTGTTCCGCAGGTTCTTGAGCTCCTCCTGGGCCTCGTGCAGCATCTCCATGCACTCTGCATACTTGTCCTCCAGCTCACGCAGCTACAGAAGAGAGAGGCAAAGCATCAGGACCTCCACAGGACCTGTGGACACTCAGGTGCTTACACCATCCCTCCCCACCCAAAGGCCAGAAAGACACAGCCAACTGAGTCCTCAGCACCTCACTGAACCTGCTGCCCTGTGGGCCTGTGGCAAACTAGCAGAGTCCTTAAGGCTGGATTTTCATTTTCACTTGGGGCAAGCTTCCAGGCCTAAAACATTAAGAGTATACAATCCAGATAGGTCACTAACATCAAAAATGGCAAACTAGCATGCCCTTGTTTCAAACTGCATTTTGTTATTGTTGCTGCTTTCTGAGATAGGGTCTTGTTATACAGCCCAGGCTAGCCTCAAATTTCCGACAGTCCTCCTGCCTCAGCCTCCCAGGGGCTGGGATTACGGTGTGTACCACAACACCCAGCTTCAAGCCACAACTTTGAACAGGTTCCTTGCATATGCCTGTGCTATGCTCTAGTCACTTATTTGGAAGCTAGAAAGTGCCAGGCCCTGTACTGGTGTTGAACCCAGTAGGCACAGAACTGAGATTTTCTTTTTAAAAGATGCTAAATTCAATATTAAAATGCCTGTTATGAGGGGCATGACCTAAGCTTGCCAAGGGAGATGGATGCACCTTCACTGGAACCTGTGGTGCTAGAGAGGAGTCAGGGATACCCACCTCGGCTGTGAGCTGTCGCTGGGCATCCTTCGCAGCCCCCAGGTGCTGGACCAGCTCTTCATTTTCCACCGTGCACTAAACATGGCGAAGACAAGTCACGTTCTCTGTTAAGGCACTCAAGTCGGCCCAACTTTCCCCTCTTGCTCCTCAATCTGTTAGAAGCTCACCTTTCTACAGTGAACTGTGTACCTCACTCTGCAGCAAATGTTGCCTTTTCTGTAACTGTGAAGCCAAAGTCTTTCTTGCATCTCTATTTATTCTCCATAGCCCAACTTCCACTTCCAAAGTAATGGTTGCTCTCTGGAAGTCCATCCATCCTCCCTCCCTCCCCCTTCTATCCCCGTTCCTCTCCACTTTCTGTCTTTCCGTCTTTCTTTTTCCTAATTTTCTCAGCGGCATTTCATCTCCTTCTTCCCGTAAAAGCCTCATATGAGAAATGAAGTTGCTTTTTGATGCTTTATTGTAAATCTCAAGGGCTTTGCTCTGCTGTGGGATGTAACTGATGAATGAAGTAAAAGCCAATACCAAGCTCTATGATCCACAAGTTAAAGGCTGAGACTGTATCTATAACACCTTTCTTATGAATGTTACAAATTTACAGATTCGTCTCAGGAAACAAGATCATAAACAAAACCTCTGCCAACTCAGGGCAACCAGGTTGCATTCCTGAACCCACTAAGCCTTTCTTCCAGAGGAACAGCACACTTGGTTCCCTTAGGTAGGGAACTGTTCACTACAGTAACTTCCCCTGCCCATTAAGCACAGCCACTGTCACATCAGCCCGACATGGAGGTCTTACAGCTTTTGCCTTCTTCTGCAGGTCCACAATCTGCGACAGCAGGTGCGTGATCTCCTCCTGCTGACGGGCAGCATCTTCTGTCTTCTTGGCCAGCTCCTCTGAGATACTCGCAATCTGGACATTGGCATCCCCTGAAACGAACAAAAGACAAGCATGTGACCGAATTGGAAAATCACACGCAGACTGAGAAGGACACCATCTTTACAGGGAGGAGTGGAGTAGAGGTGAAGGGATTCACAGAGAGCATCTTCCCACATGGTGACATGGCTTTTTCAGGGCTGCGATAAGGAACCTAGTCTTCCCATGGGCCTATCACTCCTGAAAGGGCTGACTCCACTCAACAAGGCTTCCCTCCAATGGTAGGCCAGGCAGGCTCCAGGAGGGGGCTGGAAGTGACACCAAGCACAGGTGCACTTGGCCGAACCTTAACATTCCACCATAATAAGCACATCCATACAGCGATGGGAACCTTGGGCACAGGGCAGCTCCCTTGCAGCTTCCCATCACATTCAGACCTGGGGCCGTTTTACTAGGCATGACACAGGCTGTGTTTCATGTACTCAGTATTTCAACAGACCTCCCCTTCTCTTACCTTGAAGCTCACAACAGAGATAGCATGGGGGAAAGTGCCAATTTAAAAAGCAAAGCTGAAAACTTTGGTGTCAATTGCTTCAAATCACATCATTCTTCCACATGGGATTTTGTATCTGGTCTTAACCTGGGTTTCAAATAATCCCAATGTGAAGTCCAAACTAAAATTAAATATCCACCTAAATGAAAGACAGCTGACACCCTGGCTCTCAATTCACAAATGAAGCAAAGGGTGCCGCAGAGGAGAGGCCTCCTGTTTTCAGAAAAGTGCCACTGAGCTTGGGCCTGAGGGGAGAGTGATGGGAGGTGCTGAAAGGAGGAATGGGAGTGGGGTGGGGAGGAGGGAGGGGTACATACTCAGCTCCTTCACGCAGTCATTCACCAGTTGCTGCTCCTTCTCTTCGTAGGTGATGGTTTCTGTCTTCAGCTGGCAGGCCTGTGGACACGGCTCAGGTTAGAGGATCGGCATTCGCACAATCAGGACTGGCAGGTGGACCAGGGTTCCAGCATGGACCTGGGCATACTTGAGTCCAAAACACTGCCCTTCAGCATCTCTCCATCTGCCACGGTAACACCCTTCAGGACAGAAAGCCCATCTGTGCTCCCTGCCTGGGTACCACCTTGTACACAATTCTCAAGGCAGAGAACTGAAGAGTGCACCACTAGAGGGTGCTATTATTTGTGTCTGTTCCATGGCTTTCCCGATGCCTGAGACACTGCTCCGCCTATGGCAGGCATTCTGAGGATAACCACACGAATGGCCAACCTTTACCAGGCCAGGCACTGAACTACAAGGTTCTGAGATGGTGTTACATCTATCCTGCTCAGCTCACTAAGAACAAGGTCTCAAAAGTTATCCCAGAAGTGGAGGGCACAGCAGCTCATGCCTATAACTGCAGCACTTGAGAGAACAAGGCAGGAGAACTGCTATGAGTTTGAGGCCAGGCAAGGCTACACAGTGAGTTACAGACCAGCCAGGGATACAAAGTGACAGCCTGTATTGAAACATGAAGGGGAGGGGGGGGGATAGCTATCCCTGGGCTCTAGACAGCTTGCTCTGCCTGAGAAAGTGGGAAGAGAGCAGTCTAGAGGCCCAAGAAAATGGCCAGTTAAAGAGAGGTAGCCCCCAAGGGTCCTGGGCCACAGGCAGGAGACAGAAGAATTCTGAGAAGAGGTGGGCCATCAGGAATCCACAGCTGGATTAGATTCTCTCAGCTAGCTCAGGGACAGAGGGCTGAGTGCCTGGGACTAAGTTGGTCACCTCAGCCAGATGCTGGGAGAGCAGCAATGGACTCCAAATGGGAAGCATGGGCTCAGCCTTGTTCAGCCACGGGCTAGCAGACCAAGCAGGCCTGTGGTTCCTATTAGTAAGGAATAAAGGGCTAGAAGAGGCAAGGTCTGCAAGAGTAGGCTGTGCAAAAGAGCATCTTGTATCTTAAACTCAGACAGGAGTTTCTTTCCAATGCGTGGCAAGTTCAAAGTAACAGGTGGCCTGCCCTATAGGAGGGGCCTCGGGGAATCTGGAGCCAGCTTAGGTGGGGGCATAGCCCAAATCTGACAAAGGGCCTAGTGGACAGGGCACCATCCCTTTGGCTACAGAGCATAAGATCACTGCTAAGTAAAACAAACAGCATTGAATCTACAGGTTTCAGAGGCTTTAGAGAGGGAGGGTGGACGATGGGGGAAAAGTGGGGGCTAAAGTCACAGACTTACAAATCCTGTCTTTATCGTTTATTTACTCTAAATATCTAGCAGCCTGGGGCCCAACTCTTACTACAAATGAGAATCAAAGTAACCAGCTCTCAGTCTTGTTGTGGAGATTCAAATGATGATGATGATGATGATGATGATGATGATGATATAGGCCAAGTGCCTGGCACAGTGCCTTCCTTGCCTATATAGGAAACACTCAAAAGCATAAGCTCCCAGGCCACCCAGCTCAGCCTTTTTAAATGTACCATGTAGGAACTCTCTCAGCTCTGGAGTACCATTATTTCCTTGGAGCAAATCTGATCCTGGATAATGTGAGAACTAGTGTCACCTCCAATCTTCAGGCCATTGCTTGAGTACAATATCAGAACTGGGGACCATGGTGGAAGGTCTTGGGGTGAGGGGAGGGGTGTGCACCTCCTCTCAGTCTTCACCTGCTGAGGTGGTCAGCCCAGGAGGCAGTGTCTGCACGTCTGTGTCTGAGAGCCCTGGCTCCAGGGAGCGCAGGCACAGGTGGTTTGTCCTCAGAAGGGTGCTTTTCGGGGTACTACCACTATAGCTATTCCTGCCGGATGAGGCAAAGGGACTCCCCACACCCTTCAAAAGGGACGAGAGCAGGGCATTCGTGCCACCTCAGATCGAAGTACGACATTCTCCTCTTCGAGGTCCTTCAGCTTCTTTTGAAGAGAGTCCAAGTGGAAATAATTCTGAACGGAAGATGATGACTCGTTCCTCTTTAGCCTAGGGGAAAATTATGCTCAAGGTCAGGGAGGCTGAGCATCCTCCCTACTGGGGCAATCAACTGCTCTCCCCCCCTTACTCAAGGGAATATCCCCTAATCTTCAGGCAACCTGCCACACTGGTCCCATGTTGAAATATTCTCCACAAGGTGCAGTTACCACATCAGCTTAGAATGGGGAAGGGGGGTCAGCTCTATTTAAAACCAATGCAATTCCAGGGTTCCCGGGAGCTCATTAACTCCTGGGATGCACACCTATGTGTAAGAAGCGTTTTAAATACACTGGGTATGTGAACTCAATGCTCACAACTCCATGATCTAAGTGTTCTTAATGGCTCCATCCTACGGTGAGGAAACAAGCACAGGAGTGAGGTGCCATGGCTTATAAGTCACAGAGTTGGGACCCCCAAAGCAGGCCACTGGGCTTCATATGTGAGACTCTGCTGACCTCAGGGAAGCTCCCAGGCATTCTGACCAGCCATGGCACCCGAGGCTCCAGGATCTGTACTTCCTCTCATCACAAAGAGCCCATCCTGCTCCCACAAACATGCCAGGGCAAATCAGCTGTCCTGACACACAAGCAATGAGACCTGTAAGAGGCAAGGTGACCCCTGCAGCTCCCACTCAAACACTGACACTGCTCTGTCTGAGGACCTCAGATGGTCATTCTGGGAAAGGCTGACCCACATTGGTAGTGAGTCTGCCTAGATGCTGCCAAGGGTGTCCACAACAGTCAGCCGGTACTCTGGCTCCAGAAGCCCACTGCTGGTGACTTACGGGGTTGAGCAGACAGACTCAGGCTCGCTCTCCTCGGCAGCACTGGTGTAGAACTGAAGCAGCTCATCCTTCATGGACAGCTCGTGGCGGAGCTGAGACACCTGGGCGGGCAGGACAGGGAGAGCTAAGTTTGCTTTCTGGAAGCTGACAATATCCTCTCCGTTTACAAGCACTACTTAGAGACAGAGTTACTTAATGCTTAGGGACAGAGTTCCTGTTGAAAGTGAGGGCACTGTCAAGTGAAGCCAGGACCTGCTGCCCAGGACCTTTCTGAAGCAGTGAGCAAACTCACTGCCCATGTTTCTGGCTCGGTGCTTTTAACCTGAAACTGCTTGCTGCAGTTCTCCCAAGTGCTGACTAGAGTCGGAGGCACTGCAAAGTTACCGGTGTGAAACCTTCCTTTGTTGCACTAGCTCTTCAACAAAATGAGCAGAGGTTCCTCTGATGAATAAGGCCTGGGCAGCGCCACTCAGGGAGAAGCGTCTCTCCCACAGTCTGCCCATCTGTCACCGGTACTTGGGAAGTATGGACTGAGAACATCAAGACCTGGAGGCCAATAGGAGGGCCTCGTGTGTCTAAGAAGCTGAGCGGGATCCTGGGGCCTCCTCCCTGTCTCAAGCCAGTGAATCCCCAGTATCCGGCTGTGACCAAATCTGTGAGCAGATGTGGAAGGTTCTGGAAGTGGGTGCAGAAAGGGGAGGATTCCTAGACTGTCCTGCAACCTCCTAATTTTTTCCTTATGCAAGCACTTACTTCTGTCAACCAGACCAGAAATCAGCCTCCTTCCCCCCACCTTGAAAACTAGTACCCATTTCACAGGGAAGGAAAATAGAGGGTTATGTCACAGAGACACGTGACACTGGGTATGAACAATCAAAGCACTGAACGACTGTTGTTTGGCCATTTTGAAATTCCACATTCTTAGCTAAACTGAGTTGAAGCACTCTGATCAATTATGGCTCCAGCAGGCTCATCATTAAAAATATTTTTATTAAATTAAAATTGGACAGGGTGTGGGGGGGTGCACCTGTGGAAGTCAGAGGACAGGACAACTGTCTAGATCCAGTTCCTTTTAGGGATCAGATTCCTTTCAAAATGTGGGTCCTGGAGACCAAACTCATGTAGTCTGGCTTGGACACAAGTGCCTTTACCTGCTGATCCATCTTGAAGGCCCATTCTCATCATTTTGCAGATATAGGCCTTGACCCTGGACCTAAAGATACACCCGAAGAGTCAGGATTGGGTCCAGCTCCATTATTATAGTAATACCAGTAACTAAGTTAATTGAGCCCCTGCCCTTAAGTTCCTTTTACAGGCCAAGCACTGCTCTAAACCTGTCCACATACTGACCCTTTTATTGGGCAAGGCGTGGAGGTCACAGTGATTTCAGGGATGAAGAAACAGCTGTCTCCCTGACCCAGTTTGGGGTTCCCAAGTGGTCTGCACTCAGGTTCCCACAAATGTGTGATGGATGAGAACCCGTATGCATGCCTTGGGCTAGAGGTCCCCAATCACAGACCACGGACAGTTTGTCCTTTACAGTCTTGCAGTGAAAGTTGCTTTGTGGAATGTTTACTGCCTTTTTGATTTTTTTCTTCAACTGTCATAAACTATATTACATTTAAAAAAAAAAAGAAAGAAAGTGAGGGCACTGATGGATTTGATTCCTTGCTACTCAAAGACTTGAGTCTGATCCCAATTAAGAAAAACAATCAATGACTTCTGGTCAAGAAACTCCCTGTCAGTATCATCATATTTAGTTAGATATAGAGAAATGCAAAGGAGGGACTGGAAAGGCTTTGGGCCTTGGAAGCAGCCAGATGATCAGGTGGGCAAGGGGCCAGAGTAACGGGTCCTAACACTAAATGAAAGGAGAGGCCACTTGCTTTGCCAGAACCCAATGCCATCTCAGAGCAAGTCTGTAGCTGTGCCAGCTCCAGGTGGGCTTCCAGGAGCAGTTTATAGACCCCACTTGGAAATCCCCCTGTGACTGATGAACCACATAGGGTCCCTGGCCATGCTGACAACTGATGAAGGGGCTTTGCAAACCATGTTGGTTTGGACCGAGGGTTTAAGATAAGCCAAATGAAGCCATACGACTTCTCACCTGCCTTCCAACATTCAGTACTCATAAATACATGGAAGCAGCACTATGAAAAAGAACTGGAAGTCTTCCTCATTCTTTCTTGTCTCATTTGATTTGTGGTTTATTCCAACTTTCCCATACCACAAAGGGAACAGATTCTGTTTTCTTTGGAAGAGTAACTTGTGTTATTTGCATAAAGATTTCACCACCTGGATGGATAATTTAATGATCTGCCAAAGCAGAGCATGTCATCTTAGTTTTCAAATTCAAAACTTTTCCAAGGAAAGCAAGGCCTTTCTACTCCCCGAGTAGATGTTCTTCACGTACAGTGAGGAGGCCATCCCACACAGACCGTCATGGGAAGAGGCCAGTGGGCAACCATTCACTGGGTCCTGGGTGATGTGTTCTGCTCAGAAGGACATGTTGACCTGCACAACTTCTTCCCAGTCACCCAGGAGATGGGAATTCAGGCATGGAAATTCAGGCTATTTCCCTGGTGCAGGATCAACTTTACTGCCTCCCAGAACACAACAGGATTCTTTCTAGCTTACAATTTTTGAAAGAAAGCTGGGGGTTAAACCCTTTCTTACAGCAGTTTAACTCCATTTCACCTTACAAAACATCATTAAACCTAGACTTGGAATAATTTTAATGAGGAAAAAAATGACTGAATACACTTTAGGGTCATGGATAAGGGCATCCTTTCCACTAGAGAAGTTTCTGACAGAAAAGGAGGGAGAAGAAATAAATAAAATCCTCACAGTTAAAATTACTGCTAGGAGAAGAGGTAGGGGGCAGGAGAGAAGCTGCCCATAAGACCAGCTGTTAAGCTCCAAATCCCTGTTCCATCAACCCCAGCTAACACTACACAGCCTCCCTGCTGTAGACACATCTCTTTCAGAAAACTAGCATCCTTCCTCTTTACTCTGGGTTCCCTTCTGACTCTAAGTCCCCGTGAGAGAAGCTGAGATAGTCCATGTCCTTTCCCCTCTCCCATGACAGCCATCAATCAAGATATGTATAATGAAAATAACTGGTTTATACCATGAAAGCCCTATGCTATGTTTGATTTTATTCTACACACATACATTTATAGTGGACTGACAAATGTGAAAGGCTACTTTACTCTGCAGCAAGAGTCAGGTCCTCACAGAGTCCTCTCCAGGTACCTAGGTCTACCTGGTTGTTGCACTGGCCTGTGCATACTTCTGCCAGGCATGGAGTGTTACATGGTCTGGGCTTTCAGAGGACCGTGGCTGGCTTGACATGCCCAGGCACACAGGGCTCCCGCCCGCCTCACTTACTGCTCCCAGGCCACGACTCCTCACCTCCTCCCTGATATGTTCCACTTGCTCCTCCAGCAGCTCGTTCCTCTCAGTTAGGGTCTTGTTCTTCTTCAACAATGACTGGCCGATCCGTGCGGCCAACTCCAAATCCCGCTCTTTCTACAAAAGGCAAGAGAATTGGGATTTAAGAACCCTGTGCAGACACTGGAAGAGGCCAACAGGGCTCAGTGTCAAATGGGGAAGACAGGCGCATCTAGAAACAGCAGAAGAATGAACAATTCACCATCCTGGTCAGCATTTGATGCCTGTTAAAGAGGAGTCAACTTGCCCACATACATGCAGGAGCTATCCTGAAGGATATGATGAAAACCAGGTACAGGGGAGAGAAAAAGCTTCCAAAAACATTTCACAACTACTTTTGATATTTTGGCAATCATTAGCAGCACATTTCTCCACTTTAAAGCTTACCTATTGTAGGCCAGTCCTTAGCACATGGGTACACCCAGTGACATGGATGGATGGATGGATGGATGGATGGATGGATGGATGGGGGCATGGATGGGTGGATGGATGGGTGGATAGGTAGATGGATCTGTGGGTGAATGGATGGAAAGACTGGTGAGTGGATGGGTAGATGGGTGGGTGGATGGATGGATAGGTATGCAGGTGGGTAGGGGGATGGGTGGGTAGATGGATGGGTGGGTGAATGGATGGATGCATGGATGGATGGGTGGATGGGTGGGTAGATGGGTGGGTAGATGGATAGACTGGTGTGTGGATAGATGGATCTGTGGATGGAGGGATGATAGATGGATGGATAGGTGGACAGATGGATGGGTGGATGGGTGGATGGGTGGATGAGTGGGTGGGTGGGTGGGTAGATGAGTAGATGGATGGGTGGGTAGATTCAAAAACTAATGGTCCTACAGAAAAGTCAAAGAGCTAGCACAGAAAGGCAGCCTCTTTCGCTCACATACAGAACATACTGAGTTCTTCACTCTTGCCTGTGAAATGAAAATGTAGTAAAGTCACACCCAATATAGTTGCATCTGTTTGGGTGTTGTTTTGCTTTCTTATATAGGCTTTATTTTTTTTAAGGAACTTTCAAAATGCAGAGAGAAGGTGTAGAAATGCCATACTTCAGAGACAGTTCAGGACACAGGATGTTCTGACAGTTCAGCCACTAATACCAACTAGAGCGGCCCACAAGAAGACACTGCTGCCTTCATGGCTACCAACATATGTCACATCCAAATCTATCACTCTAAGATCCATTTGCCACTGTGGTCAGAGTCTACCTGCTTCTTTAGGTGGGAGGCTGGCAAGGTGAAGCAAGCTGGGGTAGAGACAGTCTTGGGCTCTGATTCCACACTGGGTATTAGCAATCCATGTGGCCTGAGGCAAATGACGTGTCCTCTCCAAAATCAGGAACACTATAGTTTTGTTCAAACCACAGGTTATACAACCATAAGTGTGTTGAGAAATAATTGAGGAAGTGACAATGGACATCTTGTTTTAAATGAAAAGCAATAGTGCAAAACTGAAATGCCAAAATGCCTTCCACGTAGAGTGTTATTTCATATTCAAACTTTTGGCATGTGTTTATATAACCTGTAAATTCTGGCACACAACCTGCGATGCATCTTTTTCTTTTTCTTATAGTGCTGAGGATTGCCTCCAGGGTGTTGATTGTGCTAAGTATAAAATATATCACCAAATTACTATTCCCCTAAGCCTCTGCATGTGTTTCTTACAGCAGGTGTTCACCCCCAGCTTAGTTGCTCCTGGTGAGCCATCCTAGGCTGAGCTGGGTACCACAGTCTGAACATCACTGGGGTCTAGCTTCCTGTTAAAGAGGCATGGTAGCTGAAATGGCTTTATTATCACTGAATTGTACCATAAAGAGAGCCAGCAGCTTCTTAGGAAAACCAAATTTTTACACAGTTTGGCTTCCTCTTGTAAGATGATAGCTTCTCAGGTCCTCCACAGTTCCCAAATCTGTAATGCTGTGACTACGATCCTACAGGTCAGCTGGGTATGGCATCAAGTGATCCATAAATAGCCTCCACTCACCCCTACCGTGTACACTTCATACCAGTCCCTCAGCACCCAGAAACTCAGCACACATAGAAAGAGCCCCTCCAGTGTAGCCAAGAGGACATGGTGGTAGCTCAGGCAGTCAAAAATCCTCATCTCTGCATCTATTCTCAGGGATCACAGGATCTCCAAGAAGATTCCGTATCTCCTGAACCCTTGTCATTTCTCAGACTCTATGGCTGTGCCTTCCTACGGGGGAAGGACTCAATGAATTGGTGTGGAAAAGGCTGCTGAGGCTTTGAGCGGCCAGAGAACAAGTCCAAGTGCTACAGAAAGGTAGCCTCCAAAGTCCAACATAAACCTGTTGAATTCCACACTAGGACAAGCACTGAGACAGGATTCCCAGAAGGGACTTAAATAATGCTCACTGCTCACTTCATGACCCCACTCCACGTTGCTTTCACACACCTGAGCTGCTAAGTTTCAGCAAGCACAGATATCTCACACACCTTAGCAGGGATCTGTGTGCACAGCACACTGCAGACAAATCAACAGTGAGGTAAGGTGCTGCCCAGAGCACATGAAAGACAAGAAGGCTTCCCAGTGCACACGGAGAGCCAGGGCCCAGGAGGGACAAGAACGGGGAAGGAGGAGCAAAGAAAACAAGAGGGGCACTGAGCTCAACCAGGAAGCCCTTTGCCCCATAGATCACACCTCACACCTGGGCAGGGCCTCCAGCCTCTCCCTCCCCAGTCCTGCAGGGAGCAGGTATCACTGATTAACACTGTAAATCTAACCTTCATGGTAATTAACCAGGGCATGGAGAAAAAGCAGGAGGGGACAGAAAAGTTCTTACAGGTGAAACAGAAACAAAAGTTACTATGGTGCCACATCTTTTCTGTTTAGTTTTATTTGTTTTGGCTTCTGGGTTTTTGTTGTTATTGTTGTTTTGCGATGGGGTCTTGTATAGCCCAGGCTAGCCTCCAATTCCAGGTCTTCCTGCCTCAATCCCCACATGAAGGAATGACAGGACTATGCTACCACAACCAACTCTGTCTAGTTTTATTATGGCAACAGGCTAATTAGGTTGTTTTTGAGACCCATAGGAATGGGGCAGGGAGCACCCTCCCCTTTTCTTACCGGTTAAGTCAACACAAAGCAAATATTTAGTTCTAAAGTCAAGAAAACAGCTAAGCAAAAAGCTTGGATTTAACCTCAAAACCAATGAGTGACTATAAAAAAAAATAATAATGAAATAACTTGGGCCCTAGGAAAAAGCCACCAAAAGTCTAGTCCTTTGATTCCCTGGGAAACAGGGCGAGGGAGGGCAGCTGCTTTGTAGCTGGACTTTGGCTTGAAAGACTACAACCTGACGCCTCTCTTGTCTGCACACTGGGCTGACTGGCACTCTCCCTGGAGAGGCATAGCCTGCTGCCCACACTAACAGGTGACTCATCTCATTCACCAATTTTAGGATAAAAAGTATGACTAAGGCCCAGTGGAAAGCACTCTCATAACTGGGGTGCAGGCAAGCTCTGCCCAAAGGTACATTCCCAATGCAGCAATCCAGGGCAAGCTGCAGGATCTCCTTCTTGGTAAACCCCCAGCAGCTGTGTGTGAGCTTCCAGAGCTAATCCCAGGCACCCCCTTCGTGTGCCAGGCAGCAAACCTACGTTCACAAATGGAGGCAAAGCTGGAGCAGCAAGGGGCGACTGTCACATGATGTGACGATAGCTAGACTTTAACCTGCCCAGTTCCAGAGAAAGGCAATGATCTGGGTTGTGATTTTCTTATCAGAGTAAGGGCAAGTGGTGTGCTATTTATAAAACACAGAGATGCAGACACAATCACCCGTCAAACATAAAACAGAAAGGCTTAACAAAGAACCTTGGGAAGAAACTGTTCTACCAAAATGATCTTCTTTGCACTAATTCAACTTTATTTTTTAAAGATAAGCTGACATTCTATACTTCATTGAGAAATTACCTGGAGAAAAGTGAATTATTTGTTTTATTTTAATTTTTAATTTTAGGGACAAGGTCACATATAACCCAGGCTAGCCTCAAACTTGCTATGTAGCTTAGGATGACCTTCAACTCCTGCTCCTCCTGCCTCAACCTTCCAAGTACTGGTAGGTACCTCAACTTGTAGGCGTAAGGAAACACCACCATGCCTGGCCAAAAAGTGAGTTCTTGATACTGGGCTCTGCATAAAGGGCTCAAGTCGTTGGCTTCTCTGGAAGTGGTCTTTGAATGTCCCAGCAGAGAAGGATGGTACCCTGTGGAGTATCACCCCGCACTACAGCCTCTGATGTATCACAGCTACAGACTGGGGGCTATGACTGCCCAGGGCAGTGGGAGCTCAGGTCACATTCTGAAAACAGAGATGTCCCATAGACAATCAACTAGCACAGTGTCAAAGACTAAGCAGCAAAAAACAGGCAAAAGTAACAGAGCCAGGGTTGGAGAGGTGGCTCAGCACTTAAGAGCACTGGCTGCTCTTACAGAGGACCCAGGTTTAGTTCCCAGCACCCACATGGTGGCTGACAATCACCTACAACTCCAGTTTCAGGGGATCTAACGCCCTCTTCTGGCTTTTGAGGGCACTGCATGTACAGGTGCACTTTTAGGCAGGCAAAACACTCACACATAAAATAATAAATAAAATTTCAAAATTAAAAAAAGAAAAGCAACAGAGTCCTATGCAGTGGTGCTGCAAGCCAGGGCTGGAAAGTCATCTGGTGATCTTGGTGTCTGACCCCTTTCTGTAGGGCAGAGGGTTCATCAGTAACTAGTTCTAAGAACCTCTATGGAATTAATGAACTCAAGTATGGTCAATGCTTAGCTCTCTAGTCAAATTTCATTCCTAACAAGTGCAACAAGAGACAGATATTCTATTGAATGTCAAAACAACATTTAACTTCAGATTGCTTAAGTCTAAAAAGACAAATCACCCAACAGGAGCCCTGCCCTGGAATAGTTTCTAACACATCCAAATGAAGGACCAAAACAAAGGAAGCCACAGGAAGACTCTGGTGCTCCAGCCTCAGCAGGGACACAGACTACCTGGGGCCAGGGTCAGGGAGAGCCTCACAGGTCCCTGGTGGGTCTGCAGCATGACAGCGAGAATCAGGAAAGACATCATAGGGCATACAAGGTCAACGTAGAAAAGCAGAGGGCAGGTCCCCCGAGGACAGAAAGCAAGTAGGGGCTGAAGAATGTGAACAAGTGAGCCACTCTGAATGCTCTGAGAGTCAGGAGGACAATGGTAGACACAAAGGATTTAGAACAGGGCAGAGAGCCAGCCAACTCAACCACTGAGGTTCAGATGCTTAGAATAAAGATAAAGGTACACATGTAGAATTCTCTCCAAAGGCTTGGCGGCCATGTGGACATGGGGAGGGGGGGAACTGAACACACTTTGTTTACTCTGGAGGACAGTAGCACTCCAGAAAAGCGTCAACAGGAACATTTCCAAAAGCCAGCAGTGTATCCAAGTGAGCCTACCAGTGGCTGACACCAGCCACCAAGATGGCAGCAACTGGAGTGCCACCAGAAGGCAAGAGGCCAGCATCTCAGAATGCCCTCCCCAGGAGCCAGTCACAACAGCCCAAACCCTCACATCATTTATATAGGGCTGAGGAGTTCTTGTCTTTTCCTTCAGAACAGAACAGTGGTGGGTTGCATGGCAAGTGGGAACATCTCACGTAGAGAGGGACAGAGATACTGGGTGGAAAGATGTACCCTGCGGGACTTGGGTCCTATCATCCTAACAGAGCCTGCTTGCTCTTTAGCCTTGTCCACTCTGAAACAGCCACAGTGCCATCTGTGTCACCCACAGCATCCTAATCTCTTCCTGGGGAAGGTGTTAAAGAATAGTCACTGACCCAAACTTGTTCTAGATTCTAGAAGAGAAACAAAGTCCAAAGTTACTGCCTGTCCTCTGAAGGCTAGCTTTGGGGTGAGGGCAGTTTGAATCTGAAATGGCCCCCACGGGCTTGTGTTTTGAACTGATATTCCCCAGTTGGTGGTGCTGTTTCGGGAGACTGTGGAATGTTCAGGAGGTGGGGTCCCCCTGGAGGAAGCAGGTCACTAGAGGCTGGACTTTGAAGGTAAACGTCTTCCTCCTCTGAGTTGTTTATGTCAGGTATTTGGTCATAGTGATGCAAAAGCACCATCACAGGCACGTACTCTGACCACTTGCTAAGCCCTGCCTACACTGGCTTGCACTTGGCCTGCACATGCACACATCACATACATGGTCTATCTAAGGGCCTTCATAGCCCCTCACTCCCAAATGACAACAGAACACTGAGACCAACTGAGAATGTCAGTCTCTCCAGGACATGCAGCCTGGCTGACCCCAAGCGACATCCTCAAGTTTTGCTGCCATGCTTATGTCACTTAGTTCCATGCCGATGCTGTATTCTGCTCTACTAGCCTAGAAGCAGAGGTTTAAACTATATCAGGAAGGTCGGGTCAATCATATATTCTTCTGTTAGTATATGGTTTAGGTTTCTCAAATCTGAAACTGGGTATTCTGACAGGTCCTTAAGTGCCAATATATGTTTGTGTCATTAATTCATGATGTCAAAAATCTAAACATGATGTCAAAAATCTAAACAAAAATTTTTGAGTGTGGCCCAGAACACTTACAGATGGCAATGTCACATTGCAATGTCAAAAGGTTAGATAACTGTGATCTGAAATATCAGTGAAGCATGGTGGTACATTCCTGCAGTCTCCGAACTTGGAAAGCAATAGTAGGAAGACCAGGAGTTCAAGACCCACCTCAGCTACATAGCAAGTTTAAGGTCAGCCTGGGTTTCACAAGCCTCTGTTTCCAAAAAACAATAACGAATCTAAAATGTGTACACAAAATTACAGTTTCCAAGGCCTACAAACATAGTTACTAGTTCAAAAAATTAAGCCACTGTATATGGTGAGGCACACCTTTAATCCCAGCACTCGAGAGACAGAGGCTGGCAGATCAGGTCTCTGTGTGGCCGAGTCCAGCCTGGTCTACATAGCAAGTTTCAGGTCAGCTGGGACTATATAGTGAGACCCTATCTCAAAGAAAAAAAGCCATTAAACTGTACAATGCAGGAGCCTAATGTGAGATTTCTCACTGAAAGGTACAAGGAGTCAGTGCAGATCCATCAGTTATAAACAGTCCTTCGCCTTCCCCACACACTTACCTCCTCAAGAAGCCTCGTGACAGCATCTATGTCATTGTATGTCTTAGTCATCTGGCCAACTCTTTCAGCACATAGAACTGCAAGAAACAGAAAAGACCATAAATCAGACTGCTCGTGTCACAGACCTGGCAACAGATGGCCCACCTAATAAGGTCACCCCAAACTTGTGTCTGAGTATCAGATCATTGGTCTATCAGATTCCACCCATACCAGACTCAGCACCACATGACTCCACCTCCCAGTTCCAGTTAGGAGGCCTGAGTTTGTGAGGGGACAGCGATGCTGAGTCCCATGACACCTTCACACAAATGCTTTGTCCAGGGCCCAGTGGTAGAGGGAGAGGGGCTCTGGCCTCATGCAAACTCAGCAAACTAAAGTGGATAGGGTGGGTCTGTGGAGCAGCCTCCCATGTATGAATTACTAGAAAGGCCTACAGGACTCACACCCCACAGACAACACAGACCCAGCAACACCGACAGAGTGGGAGCTTCCAGTATGCAGCTATCTGAATACTTATTAAACACTGTCTTAGGCTGATAACTTCATTAACAGTGGATGCTCCCTACTTCCCAAGTGACCTAAATTCTAAGGTTATGCAGCTTCCATATCAGGAGCACTAAGGTACTGTCCTTTTAAAATTCACTCCCCAAAACACTATTGCTGTGGCCTCAACACATGTATGCACCCCCCACACACACACACACAAACAGAGCCTGATTTCATTACATGTACAATTAACTGTGGTCATAAGAGGCTGCTCATAAGCTACTGTAGGACCAGGCCTTCTCCTCCTTCCATTGGAGAAAAGGAACATGGGACAGAGAAAGGTTTTAGTCTGCTAGAGCATCTCAGGTTATTTGCTTCAAATCAATGGCAAAGAATTAATTGACAGTTCAGCACAATTGAGAAGGTACCGTGAGTTTTATTATGTTCTGGGAGGATGACTGCATTTGGATTTAGGGCTAATGAGCAAAAGTTTTAAAGACCCAACATGGCAATAATGCTTTTTAGCTAAGACTCTGGAGAATAAATCTATTAAGAGTGGACACTTTGCAGCGGGTCAAGTGCTTGCCACATGAGCATGAGGGCCTGTGTTAGGTCCCCAGAACTCTACGTAAAATAGCCAGGCAGGTGGATTCCTGGAGCTCCTGGCAGCCAGCCTTGCCTAATTGGTAAGTTCCAGGACCCTGTCTCAAAAAACAAGACAGACAGTTCCAGAGGGATGACACCTAAGGTTGACCTCTGGCCTCCATGAGCACCTGCACACATATGCATTTGTAACCCCCTCCCACCCCCCAAAACAATCCTTCTTAGTAATGCTTTGTATCATAGACTCTGGAAAATAATTCTATTAAGAGTGGCAGCTTCTGTAATGACCCACATGCAGCAATAGTCCACAAGAGGCACCTAGACCCAAAGCCTCTCACCAAGTCAGACTTGGAGCCTTACGCGTGAACTGCAGCTGGAATTCAATAAGTCTCTAAATATTTTAGCAATGCAAGCAAAGCTGATCCTAGATAAGCCCACAGAAACATGACCTTCTAGAATGATTTCCTAGCTCAGGCAGGCGCTGAAATCTGGTTTTCAATCTGAAATATTAGCATCCCAGGAGTAGGACCCAGGCCCTCTGCAGCCCTCCCCAGCCCCAGTCAGCATTTTCCTTGCTGCATCCTGGGGAACAGACGTTGCCTGGCTCAATATCCCATTCCCTTACTAAATCTTCCCTTTCCCTTGACAGCAGCCAGTGGGGGAATAGCAGGGAGATGTATAAGAGAGGGTTTAAACTGACTCTGTCCATAGGATCCAGTTCAAACTACCCTGGACAGTTCAAGGCCAACAAGCCATCTTTACTTGAGGATCTTCATGGCAGTAGCAGAGCTCTTTTAGCCCCTGAACAGCTGTGGCGGTCCATGGGAGGACATGGCTCCTGGCTGCTATTTCAGCCTTGCATTCATCAAACATGACACATTTTAAAAACTCTGTGGGCTGGGGCTGTAGCTTAGTTGGTACAATGCTTGCCTAGCACGCATGAAGCCCTGGGTTCCATATGCAGCACTACATAAACCAGGTGCAGTGATGCATGCCTATAATCCCAGCACAAGGTAGGTAGAGGCAGAAAGACAGACAAAACCCCCAACAGACTAACAAGACCTAAATTCTGAGAGCTGGGCTCGCTCTAGGCAGTCCTATAAACCACAAGTAGATGAGTATATATGGTCTTAACAAATAGTGCAGACAGATTCCCAAATCACCTTGACCCAGGTACCCGCCCCCCATGACAAAATTCTACAAAAATATGTCAAAACTGAATACTGATGTAAATCTTACCCAGATTTCCCTGGGACTGCTTTTATAATTCCATGGGCCAGTTTCTCATAGTCACTCTGCAGTGAGGAAAGCCATCTTAGCGGAAAGAGTATGCAAAAGTCTCTTGGGCTGGGGAGATGCTCAGTCACAACAGGGCCTGCCTCATAAGCATGAGGACATGGGTTCGGATCCCCAGAACCCATGTAAAAAAGGCAGGCATGACTGCATGCATCTGTAACCCTGGTGCTGACGTGGGGATGAAGACAGGAAGATCCCTGGAGCTTCTGGCTAGCCGATTGATGAGCCTCAGGTTCAGTGAGAGACTCGGCTTGAAAAGATACGATGGACAGTGACGGAGAAAATACTGAGGACTTCTGGCCTGCACACACGCACACACACACACACACACACACACACACACACACACAAACACACCCCACATTTATGTGTATATATGAAAACCTCTACCATCTTATGGTCCTCTGCACAGGCTCACACATTCACCACCCAAGGATCCTTGTGAGTTGTCCTTTTACGAAGTTGTGTTCAATAAGCTTTAAAATATTTAACAATTGAACCCTATAAACTGGACAGTGGGACCAGTGGTCATGCTAGTGATTTCTCAAGCACACACTGTCACAGGCACACAGTGAAAGGTGGCTGAATGTGCCTCTTCATAACCCCAAGACGGACAGCTGCACTAGAGGTGCAAGGTACAGGGACATCCCACAAGATGTCAGGACCACTGACTGAGCCAAACTATCCAAGTCAGAAGTATAAGTAAAAACAACAGTTTTCTCTAGGCTAGGGTGGCATACCAATATTCCAGTTGTGTTTTTAAAAGTACATATTATCCCAATTTGATGGTAAAGAGAAATATATAGATTAATGAATTGTACATAGAAAGAAAGCCAGAGTAACCACAAAAAAATAGTAAAATTTGGACAGGATCACAGATTTTAATAACTACGCAGGCATTTTTGTAATTAGCAGATAGCAAAGGTACATGTTTATGGGGTGCAGTGCAATGCTAGGTACACTTGTACACTATGCATGTATCAACCCAGGCTGCTGAGAGGTCACCTATGGATTCTGTTGTCCCTTACTGAGCATGTTCAGTGTGGTCAGGTACTGGCTACAGTCTGCTGTATATTATAGCTCATGCAACCCTTAGAGCAATACTGTGCAGTGGACACTTAACACCGTTTTACAAAATAACTCACTCAATGTCACATGGCTGGCAAGCCGCAGAACACAGAACAGACCCCCAGCAGGGGGAGCAGCTAACATCTATGGTGTCTAAGGATTTTATAATCTGTCTCTTTGAATCTTCCAGTAACCCTGCAGGGCGGGACTGCTACAGTAAGGACACCACAGATGAGGAAAGTGAGGGTGGGAGGCAGTCAGAACCTGACAGAAGGGCACAGTGAAGGTCTGTTTCACATGGGCTGGCGAATAGTTGATGATGACCACACTTTTGGTTTTGAATGAGTGAGTTTATTAAGTATATACCAAGCCAAAGTAAAAGAGTAAATAGAAAGAGGCAGAGATAAGATCACCAAACTGGGTGCTCACAACATCAGCAGAAACCAGCCAGGGAAGCTACAGTAGTTAGCTGAAGCTGCCAACTGAGCTCTCGCCATGGCTGAGCTTCCTGGGTCTGAACTTTAGGTTTTTCATTTCCATTGTAGGTGTTTTTATATCACAGGATGAACAATGGCAACATCCATTAGAAATGATTTACCTTTCAGCTGTTTTTAAGGATACATTTTGCTATTAGCTTTCCACCCCATCACAGAGTTGGGGGAAGGACAGCCCAACCCCAGACAAGGGGGCTTGGAGGACACTTCACACAAACATGCTTAGACCTGAGGTGGGGTGGAGGCAACCTGGCTCCCAGAGTCAGCTTCTCAGTTAACTCAAATATGGTAATTTACCAATAGCATGAATATGACAAGGTCACAGAGAATAAGCTTGCATTGTGAGGGCTGACCCTTGGCCAGTCTGGCTCCTGAATTCAAACAGAACACCATTAAGTACACAGAGCAAGGCCAGGGCCAGACACAAACCAGCAGTGTTCAGAAAGTGTGCAAACACAGCAAGCAGCATTGTGGCCGGGAAAGAACCTTGACCTTGGAGGAGGTTTTCACAGAAGACCAGGGCCAGACCCCATGCAGGCCCCTTAATTGCTAGGTCTTAGGTTTCCTCTTCCAAGAAATAAGGGGGTGGAGCAAGGAGAGTGGGAAAAGAACAAATCTATCTTTAAACTGTAAAGTGAATAAACACTGGTTCTGCTTTTCAAGCACCTACTTTCTAGACAGTGAATCTATGATAGATTACAGCCAAGCTTTTCTCTCTGCCAGAATCATATCTTAAATGGAAATCCCATTCTGACCCAGGACTTGCCACCAAATGAATACGTTTCCATCTGAAAAAATGTGATGCGCCGAAAGGGAAAGTAAAAGAATAGCTATTAATCTTTATAACCGCCTAATACAAGAAAACTGTAGAAAAGGTTGAATGTAGCCTGCCACGATAGCCAGGCAGATATACAGTACACATACTGAGTCTCTGATACTAAGTGATGCCACCTTCATGGACCAGGCTCTGTGTCCAACAACACAGGACACCTGCCTGCTCCAGATGCACAAGAAATAAGATAACCTAGGAGAGAAATTGGGGGTACAAGGCTTTAATCAAGGAACAAGCCCCTTAAAAGAGCTGAGACTATTAGCTAGGCATGGACACACACACTTGGGAAACTGAAGCA